AAGAAAATAAACAGAAAAATGCAAAGTGAGTAGAAGGAAGGAAATAAGAGATAAGAGCAGAAATAATAGAGAAAATCATGAAAGAATGGTAGCTAATCACTGTCAGTTTTTCTACGTGTGGAATTTGTGCTTCCTGTTCATGCAAACATTAGCACTGTCAGATCACCTTTATCTTGAAGAGAATACACCAGAGTATATTTTCACTGAACTTGAAGATGTTACTACCACCTGGTTCTTTGAGTCCTTATATCACTGGAACAACCAACAGTTCAATATGGGTAGGAGTAACCGTCACTGGTTATCTTGAGAGTAGGGGTTATTGTTATGCAATAGAGTAAGCAAGGAACATAGCCAGAAACCTGGGGATTCCTTGAAGCATCTCTTGGTGCTTCCATGCCTATTGACAATGGTGAACACCCAACTACAGGAAACATGACCTGACAAGGTCAAAGCAGATCTCTCAGGTGAAGCCTGGGCAGCCCTCTGAGGGAAGAAATCTAGGTCAGCCAAAGTGTTTCCTGAAGATGAGGAGGATCAAGACTGGGTGCTGGAGGAGAAGGCTGATGAATATCAAATATGGCCTCAAGACCCGAAGTGTTTGGAGCTTGTTTCACTAACCATTTTGTATTAAGTCTTTGTGGAGTTTTGGCTGGCTACCATCGTGAAGGGACTTTGACATATATGTGACTAAGTAAATGAGAACATGAGCATATTTGAGTGGTGAAAGGGGTCAACTGTTAATGGACATCACTTGTGCTATTCTATATTCTCTCAGCACCATCTCTCTCTCCAGCCACACTTGCAGAGACCAGTTCCAATAAAGTGTTGATCTGTTTTGCATAGAGCCTTGCTTCAGGCCCATACTGCATTCCCCTGTCTCCTGCCCTGGGCTTCTCTGATGTGATGGCATGGCACTGCCACAGGAACTCCCTGGGCACTCAGGCATGTATAACCTGAGAGGGGGGCGATCATGTTTGTGGGGCCAGCTTTAAACAATGGGGACAGGAGTTCCTTCAGAAGGTCCTATGATGTTATGGATCCCCCAGAGTGGTGGTCAATTTAATAAAAACACATTGTTTTATTGACTTTTCATTCTTCTCTGTTTTACTTGATCTGCCCTTTAGCCCTGCTCCATGGGATCACCTTCCAAATGAATTGCCTTCACTCAAGTCTTTGTCTCAGCCTCTGCTTAGAGAAAACTCGGTCTAGGACAGGGGTGGGCAACCCCTGGCACGCGTGCCAAACATGGCACGCCAGTAACTTTTGCTGGCACGCAAAACCCTCTCTTATAATCTTCCATTTACATTTTTTTTCTTAATATCGACTTTTTTATTTTTCAGATAAATTCAGTGTAGGTGCATCTTAGATAAATAAATAATTTTACATAACAAGTTATCTTAAAGACCATAGACATGGATTGACGAGAGAGGGGAAGAGCAATTTCTATGCCTCTGCCTTAACTCTCCCTGCCTTCCTAGATCCGACCAGTGTTTTGGTTTCATCCACATATGCTTGTGAATCTTTGTTCTCAGTGATGAATTTTGTTAAGTCTCGTAATAGGAGTAGCCTGATGGATGAAAGTAGTAGCTCATGCATATCTCTGAAGGTCACGAAATATAAACCTGATGTAAAATCTCTGTCATCAGTGATGCAGCAGCAAAAATCCCACTGATAATATCAAACAAAGTCATAAAGTTTTCTGTCAGACTATCAGTGTACATGTATACATTAAAAAATAAATGTATTTTTCATCATCATATACTGTGTTTTTGTCGCTTGAATGAATTTTATTATTTCTTCAAGGTTCTTCACATACGTACACCTTAAGAGATATCAAGTAGGCGTAACATGTTCTCAAAAAATTAGGGTTGGCACGCAGAAGAATTTTGAGTCAGAGATTTTGCTGATTTTGGCACGCACTCACAAAAAGGCTGCCCACCCCTGCTCTAGGACATGGATCTTCCTAACAGAGAACGTGTTTCCTCTGGCCACCCAGAGCTACATGCATCCTTCATTTTCTTTAGAAACCATTCTATGCAACTAGAAGTGAGTGTGCTTGGATGGGGCAACACCACTTGGGAGAATTCAGGCTGGCAGGTTTCCAGAAGACCTTCTATCTTGTTGACTTCATTGCTAATAGCCCCATTTTTGCCCCTAGTTCTTTTTCTTTTAGGACTTTGAAACAACACACCCAGTTTCTTTAAACAAACAAGGAAAGCAAAAATCTAGCTAATCTTTCCTCATTAACCCTGCTGGTAAATTTCCAGGGTTTAGTAAATAACCTGTGTGTGGAAGTATTCCCCCTTACCCTTCAGTTGTTGTCATTTATTTTCTTTGCTATTTACAGAGTCGTGAAACCTTGTTTTCTTTGCTTTAAATGCAAAAGACTGTTTTCTTTGGCATAGTCCCAGAGTACAGCAACGGTTAAATTTGCTGCTGTGTGAAAGAGCCGGATTTGTTTAGAAGTTACGCAAAAGGCCGTGAGAGCAGGCGGCCTGGATGATAGGAAGTAACCCCAGGAAGCTCGGGGTATTTTATTTCCTGTCCTTTGTGCCAGCATGCTGGTTTTTCCTGGGCCAATAGTAATTTGAAGTAAGGTCAAGATTTATTCTAGTTGGAATCTCATAGGGTATCAGGCACATTGCTTTCTTACAAGCAATTTCTTACCCTTACAAAATCAGAAGAAACATTGAGGAGAAAATGACATATGTAGCTCAGGGTTCTACGTGACAAATGGCTCTTGACAAGCTTCTCAGGTCAATCTTGGGAGAGAGTCTCCCTAACAAAGAAAATGAATTGACTGCATACATACACATCCATCATACTTGAAGACAGTGTAAAAAATAATAATAAAATAAAAAATAAACCTCAAAGAAATACAGCAACTGCTCCCAACTGATTCCTAAAGAGAAAAGAAATTAGGAAGCTGAAAATCAGGAGGCTCAAGAGTGAATGTGAGGACTGATATAGAGACATTGTAAACAAAAGGTTACCTCTCAACATTCAATGATGAGTGACAGCTGTGCTTTTGAAATGCCAAAGGTTAAGGAATACTGGGTTCTCAAACTGGAAAGGTCAAAGGATCATGTACATTGACCTTGGGTTGGAGGTTAGGGTTCAGAAAAGGGTGAGGGGTAGAATTTGCCCCAATTTGAGCTATCTTCACTATCAAGATTAAGAACTTTCCTGAGTATTATAAATAATATGTGAGAGTATGTCTAAACATGGAATTGCACTTTCGAGTTTCCTCATCTATTTGAATCTTATGGGAATTAAGGAAAACAACTGGAAAGTCAAAGGCATTTACCATAGAATTGAAAATGGTGGTATTCACGTGAAGAGTTCTCATTGAACTTTACTTCCAGAAGCACTGTTATTCTGATGCTATCAGCATGGGTTCCTGCCTTCTAGATTTTTTTCTTTATGGAACATTTCTCTTTATCTACTTCCAGGACAGTACCCGGATGCTGCCACATCATTAGTCCATCCCAACGGTCCTGTTCCATATATTATCTTCACAATAGTTTATTTCACGTGTAATCACGTATTTCACTTTCACTCAGATTGGTGATCTATTGTTTCTCAGTATTAAATATTTCTTTTGATAATTTATAACATTTTTATTTACCTTATTCTAACTTATGAAAAAGGATCATCGTTATGACTTTCATCTTAAGATATTTAAGTTTTAAGTAAATTTACTAGAAAGTGACCTTAGAAAAGACTGGTTTATCTGATGAAGACCAGAATTTAGAAGGCAAAAAAAAAAACAAAAAAAACTTCTTAGGTTTAATTTTTTATAAGATTATAGAGGATGAAAAGTGATGGCTGAGTTACCATTGGTGTCAGCAAGGATACCGTTAGGAAATATATGTTGCAATTTTAGAGGCCTGATACTATAACAGTCTTTCTTATTTCACCACATGATAACCCTCTGGCAATTAAAAGTTAAAGATAAAATCATTATTTTTAAAAGTAAAGTTGGTTCATTAAGTTAAACAGCTATTTGATGAAATAACAAACTTAGTTGAATTATTTCCCAATATATTAAAAAACTAGAGGCCCAGTTCACAAAATTCATGCACGGGGGATGGGGCGGGGGGAGGGGAGGAGGAGATTGTCCCTCAACCTGGCCTGTGCCCTCTCCAATTTGGAACCCCTCAGGGGATTTCTGACTGCCTGTTTAAACCCAATTTCGCAGGGATCAGGCATAAACTGGCAGTCGGACATCCCTCTCACAATCTGGGACTACTAGCTCCTAACTGTTCACCTGCCTGCCTGCCTGATTGCCCCTAACCGCTTCTGCCTGCCAGCCTGATCGCCCCCTAACTGCCCCCCTGCCAGCCTGATTGACACCTACCTGCCCTCCTCTGCCAGCCTGATCGCCCCCAAATGCCCTCCCCTGCCGGCCAGATTGCCCACACCTGCCCTCCCCTGCCGCAACCCGCCTCCTCCACCAGGACCCGCCTCTTCTGCACGAGGCGGCAGAGACGCCGGGACTGGCCTCCTCTGCACCACGCAGAGCCGCAGGACCTCCAGGCCTCACCGTGTGGAGTGGCCACCGGGCCCGCCTTCGCTGTGTGCGCAGCCATCTTGTGGTGGCCATCTTGTGACGATGTTGCGCAAGAGCGTGACACCACCTCGGCTTTTATTATATGGGATACCTGCCTGTTTAATTGAATTTTTCATTTTTTAGCTAGAAGTATAGACATCAAATACAGAGGCAAAGCCAGGAGAACCAACTGATGAGCACTTTTTTGACAATTATAAAGGTTTCATTCATTCCACTTTAGTTCACTACAAGAATGTCAATATTTTCTGTGTCTCAACTTGTTTCCTTCTGCTTTAACTTACTTTCTTGGATTGCAGAGAATATTTCTTCAGTCTTTTATGTGTTCTTCTCATTCTTCTCCCCCTCTATTCTTTCATTTTATTGTTTTTTTCTCTGTTTTGCATTTTCAATGTTTAGAAAAACAAAAAGGAAAAGCCACAAAGCTTACCATTTCCACCAAGGACAAGTATAAGAACATCCCAGCAGTAACTGTCAGGATCCAATTTTGAACACAAGGATCAGTTGATACTGAGAGGCCAACGTACAGTCCTATGAAGGCAGTTAGAGCACTTATAAAATTCATCAGGATGGCAACTTTAATAGGAAGCCCAGAGCTTAGGAGCACAGCAAAGTCTCCTAAATTTTAAGGAAAAAAAAAGAAAATATAATTATCAATTCACGGATGATGGCTTTGGCAGAGTAATGTGCTATTAGGTTGTTTCAAGTGTCAGCAACTGGGATCAATTTTATAAGTTAAGTTGAATGATCAGTTAAGAAACCATTTTCCTATATTTCTCTAGGATTCATAGCTAACACATTACACAATTAGGAAGTTACATTTCAAGAGTTTTATTCCTTTTACTGCTCCCGAAGATAGTGTAGCGGGAACTGTGACATACTCTCCAGCTTCTAATGTCCTGCTGTCCTGTGGCATTTTCAGCTTAGATAAATGCAAAATAAAGCAAAAGGAAGGAACTCTTGCCTTTCGTGACAGCATGGATGGACCTGGAGATTATAATGCTAAGCAAAATAAGCCAGAGAGAGAGAGAAACACCATATGATCTCACTTATATGTGGAATCTAATGAACAAAATAAACGGACAAACAAAATAGAAACAGAGGCATGGAAGTAAGGAACAGAATGACAGCTGTCAAAGGGGAAGTGGGTGGATCGGAGAGGATAAAAAAGGTGAAGACAATGGCCAAAGAACATATATATATAAATTTTAAAAATAAAAATAAATAAATAAAGCTCTTGCTGGCCCAGGGTTTCTAAATCTTTTTGCTTGGAAACTTGCCAAGCAAAATCACAAGGTAGTAAACATGATGTGGGCTTTCATCATTTACTTATGTCAGAACTGTTTTGGGAAAAGAGAAAACCACTTCATATGAGATTTTAAAATCATTGCCAAAGTTGATCAGGAAAACAAATTTTTTTATTTGGAAAATGTTTCAAAGCCTTGATGATTTGAAAAACATCGCATTCTCTCTTTCCCTCCAAGAGAAGAATGGCCTATTAATCTGAAAGCCTCTATTTCTTCGCTTTCAGTTTTCAGGATTGAGACGAAGCTGAAACTCAGTAAAGACAGCCAAGGGACTAAGTTTCCTAGTTCCATTGTATAATTGGTCCAATGTATAATTGGTCTTAAAACATCTTTGCTGGCCTGTCACCCATTGCTACTCTCCCCTGTGGTTTTGTTATAGTAGGTTAAAGCAGGACCATAGAATAGGTCCACCCAGACCAGGCACATTTCAATGGATTCAGGAAGGGCATAAACTGCTTCAAGAAGCTTGGGTCAGTAGTGAGTTGACAATAGGTCTTCAAACAATAGCCGCTAAGCACAGAGAACAGGGTTGGCCCAAGGGGGCAATGTAGGTCTGAAAATGGGAGCAGAAAGAATGACAGCCGGAGTCCTCTTTCTAAGGTACATGTGTGCCTGGAGCCAGCCTCCCTCTTTCTGGGTCTGTCTCATTAATGTATATTCTATCTCATCTTGGTTCTTGGGAGGCAGGATTTGAATTTCAGGGCTATTAAGATTATCCAGAAAAAGAGTCTTATGCGCATCTGTTACCATATGCCTGTCATATCAATTTTACAGTTGGCTTTAGATGTCTTGTATAAATCCGGTTGATGAAACCATGGTTTGGCTTTCATTTAAATATTTTGTCTCATTGGCCTGTTTGCTGACATCATGGGTAAAGTTCCCCAGTTGATGTTTTCCCACAGTTACTATGCAGATTTTAAAGTTCTTTAAAGGGAAGTTTCTCTGAATGACTTTCTCCCACATAGAATTCTCCAGAATCCAGAGTCACTTCTGGCCCTGGGAAACATAGAGTCCAATTAAATTTTATCCCAAGGTACAGGATTTTTTTCTAGTTCTTTTCTGCTTTTTAAATAAATTCTGAAAGAAAAATATTCATCTTTTCATCATATTTTGTAAAAGGAAGCCTAGGAAACCATTGCTAGAAATCTGTTATGACGTTCTCAACCATCAGGAAACAGTTAGACTTACCCATTTCATGTGGAATTTCATGACACAAGATAGCAATTGTCGTGGTTATTCCAGACTCTGATGAAGACGAGAAGGCTGCTCCTATCACGAGGCCATCTGCAAAATTATGCAGGCAGTCCCCCACCAGTATCATTATTGCTAACGAGCTCATGGGTTTGCCTAAAATATCCAATAAAGTTGTGAGAAGCATTAAAACAGCGTTATATATTTCATGGAATCCGTCCAACACAGCTAACTTTCCCATCCACTTGTGACATTCTTAAATTGCATCAGATTGGGCAACCCCATTTTGTCTGTTTTCGAAATAAGTCAGGACTGAAGATGCAAATGTGTTAACCGATATACTGTCACTTTTTTAAATGGCTCTATTTTTTAATGAGATAAGTTGTGCACTGGCACTCACTATCCTATCACCTTGTCCAGCTGTGCCAAAATTAAAATATTTTTATAACCTCTCAAAATACCAACAATGACCTTGCCATGTGTGTCCTTTGTAAAGCATTTTAAGATAACTTAAGAACCTCCCTGCAGAATGTCATTAAAATGAAGTCTTTTTCCAAAACTGTCCCCTCTGAGTCAGACTGTCCTTAGTGGCAACCTGCAGGAGTGCCCTTTCTGCCAGGGTGTGACCACTGTGTCCCTGTCTGGTGGTTGTTAATCACCCTGACAAAGTGTCTCATCCACTGGCCATTGGTGACCTCGGCAGAACCACTTCCAACTCTGCTGATCCCACAGTTGGCTCTGGAACAACTACTTAATGTTCTTATCTTTCTGAAATGTCAGTGCGAGGCCAGCTAGACATTGAACAAAATATGGAGACGCTGTTTTCATGGGATTCTATTGCATAATATACACAATCTGATTGGTGAAGAGTCAATGAGCTAATTTAGATTATAATGGGTTTATTTATGAAATAATTTGGATCATAACTGGGTTCAAGTTTTTAACACAGAGAATTTCTGTTTTCAAAAACTTAAGAATGTATGTCAGCATAACAATTAATGGAGTTGAAAAAGGTATTTCAGAGATAACATTCTGACAGTAAATGACCTAGGCATACCATTTGACGAGAAAAGCCATTAAAATCAAGTGTGTTAGTCTAAAACTTCATTAATTACTCACTTGCTCTCCATTGGGTGACAGGTGTGAGTAGTAGCTACTGTTGCTGTTAGAATTGAACACAGCATTCTAATAATTGTACACTCAATAAAAATAGGAAGAGGGTGCCTCCTGATTTCTGTTACATGGTCTAAGACCAGAGGGGGACTCTGCTACGATATGATTTGCTCTTTTATTTGGGAGGATATAACCTAACTCATTTCATGTCCCACATCGGGAAATAAGTAACTTCAGTCAAGTGAACAGAAGATATAGCCCAGACTGTAAGCCAGGAGATAACTGTTTTTGACTATGTTGCAAAGATTTCCCATGCATTTTGCTTCTAACAATCATGCTTTATTTAGAACAATCACTGTGAGACTGATTATATCCTCCTTGTAGTTTACTAATTCATTTTATTTTTATTAAAAATAAGAAGATTCCAGGCAACAGTCATAAAAACACAGACTACCAGTACATCTCAAATTATTGAATTCTGGGAGTTCTTGTTGGCTTTGCCTGGAAACTCTCAGAATCTAATAATGCTTACCAGGTCCTGAGCTATTCCTGCTACTTTTCAGAAATAAAGCTCTTCTTTGTGAAACCATAATAAAATGAAATCATTTAAAATAATACATTGGACAACATTGCAGCATGCAAATAAGTTGTAATTCCCACATGTCTACATGTAGGTAGTATTGCTATTAATAGCATATGTTCAAAGTGGAAAATTTTTACCCAGTTTATATTCTACTAAGAAACAGTGTGGCTTGTTTTTGTTTTCTGTTATTTTATTATCTCTGATTATAGGTTTCTAAATAACAAATCATGGGCATGTAATAAGCCACAAGACAAGTTACATTTTTGCATGTAAGCCAGAGGAATATGTTGGCATATTGTTAAGATAATTGAAACATTATTCAGCAGAAGGTAAACCAAGCGTTCGCTGGTGATTTAATGTACTCATTACAGAATTATCAATAATATTTACCTTTCCTTATGTACCTGGCAGTCATATTGAGTTACATGTTTCTGACTTACCAGAGATTTTCCATGGTGGAACATGGGCTGGACCTTGTATCATTTTGCTTTCTGTTTATTTAAATCAAACTGTGGGTAGGATTTTCACATCCTGTCTTTGGAAACACAAGCTGAACTCTACCAGTGAGGTAATATGAAATAAGTAATCAAATATTTGAAGCTAATTCAATATGTCCCTGGCAAAAGGGCAGTTGAGTAATTGAATTTGGTTTTTTTCACTATTCATTCTGTATGCCAAGCTTGATCTGAAGTGGATAGATATGAGGCCTATAAGATATCTGAATAGGACCACTGTGACTCCCTGAGCTAGCATCTGCTCTTTGCTTCTAATTTGACTGAGCACATCCTTCTTGCCTCTTGCTTCCTTTCAAAAACAAAAACAAAGAAATGTCTATTGTCAGGGATTCTAAAATATCTCCTAGAAATGAAGATTTAAAAGGAAACAATTTCCCAACCAGAATTGGACACATTCTGTAATTATATATTTTGAATCAAATAAATAAATGACAGAAATATATCTGACACGTTTAGAACGGTGATCCATCCCAACCACACTGCAAACTATAAATAAAGACCATTCTTCTTTTAATTATCTCATGCGTCAGTGTCTGAAGCATGGCACGTTCTTAAATGAATGAAAATGTAAGAAGACACACAGGCACATGCATTAATAAATGATCACAGAGAAGTTGTGGGTACATTAGCATTTCCTCAGCGCCTCAGTGCTGGAGCTCACTAGCTATGGAATCTTGGGCACTGACTTAGCCTCTCTAACAATTGGTTGCTTCACTTGTATAATTTGGATAATAATTATTCTTATTTTATTAAACTGTAGGAGGGTTAAATGAGATAACCCCTGCCTAGTTTTTAGCACTGTGCTTGGCAGATAATTGTTCAATAAATGGCAACTATTTTTATTATTGGGAAACTAACTCATTATAGTAGAATGGGAATAACTAATCATAACTTAGCATTGATCATGCTTAACATTAAAACACTAAGAAGAGTGTGTCTCAAAAAGGTAACATAAGTGAGAAAACTGGGACAAAGATTCAGGAGCAACGGATAAAAACTAAAACAGACCAAAACATTCTAAGAATTATTCACAAACATAAGCAAAAGGAAAAAAACTTCTATCCAAAATTGGTAAATTATATTCAGAAAAGGATTGGTTGAAAATTACATCAACAAATAAGTTGTAGAATAAGATGTGAATATTAAGGTATCACTGATTTGAACTCCACCAGCTTAAATGGCAAAATCACAAATGAGAGAGGCATTTATGATCAATTTTCAGTAGACAGTGACAGAAGACAAAAAAAGCAATGATGCCTTCATACTTCACAGGAAGTGAAAGGCTTAATCATCATGTAACTACGATTTTAAAGGAACTCTGATAACCACATATGTACTTACACTAATTGAAGTTTTTAGAAGATCAGTTTTAAGCAATTGGGGGAAACAGCATTTTTTAAAGAATGGAGTAAAGTTGATATTAATGTTTGGTATGTTTCACAGGCTGATGGGAATAAGTCTATTAAAAAGTCTATTGCAAACATTTTAATAATGAAATACATAACACATTTTTGACATTTATTTCAAAGCAGACATAACCTTTATCTATGACATTTTCTACCTTTAATGTTTAGCTTTTATGAATTAGTACTCACATTTTCTTTTTTGCATATATCAGTAGTTTGTGTATTGTGGGGTAGTATTGTTTTTTCCCCCTTTTTATTTATTTTTCCCCATTACCATTTATCTCCCCCATACCCTCTTCCAGCTCCGCCCACCCCTCCTCCCCCACAGTCACCACACTCTTGTCTGTGTCCATAGGTCTTCCTCTTTTCTTCTCTGTGAGTACTTACATTTTCTGTTGGAGGCTGTCATACCGCCTATAGGAATTTCAGCTGCCTGGGATTCCTCTGGGCCTTTCTATTTTAAATGAAAAAATAAATGATGAAAGATAAGCAATGGTCATCTTTTTGTTGAAAAAATGAAGCATCTGAAGAGTTATGTTGATTTTTAAAGGATAGTTGAACACTCTAGAGCAGTGGTTCTCAACCTTCTGGCCCTTTAAATACAGTTCCTCATGTTGTGACCCAACCATAATATTATTTTCGTTGCTACTTCATAACTTTAATGTTGCTACTGTTATGAATCGTAATGTAAATATCTGATATGCAGGATGGTCTTAGGCGACCCCTGTGAAAGGGTCCTTCGACCGCCAAAGGGGTCGCGACCCACAGGTTGAGAACCGCTGCTCTAGAGCATATTAGAACCTCTAAATTTCACAGACACACATAGAAAGTATGGCTGGGAATCTGAAGGCATTTGCATCATCTGCCTTTAGGTGCAAGTAGCCCTCAGGGAGAGCAGAGCCCTCCATGGAGCGCCAGAACCTACCAACACTGTCTGTAACGCAGGCTCCTGAATAATGGAGCCTTTATGAAACCTAAAGTTGTAAAAAAAAAAAGATTCTTAACTCTTGACCTAATTTAGCTCTTCTCCTGATTGTAGATCTAAAATTCATCTTTTGATCTTTAAGCAGATTGTGTATTGTGGGTGGAGAAGTAACCCATGCCAACACATACTTCATTTCCTTCATCGTGCCATAATATTCTGATTTTCTTGCTTTACCAGTCAGTAAGAGAATCTTGGCGATTAAGAAGGAATAGACAGAATGAGAAAAGACAAATATAATCATTTTGTAAAGTTTTCTCATCCTTTGATATGCTGGGGAAGTGAGATTTTGAAATGGACGTCTATGAGTTAGGATTACGTGATTTTATTTCTGAGACGGACTCGTGGTTCAGTTCCTGGAAAGTCACTTTTCCTCCCTACATCTCAGATTTTTATTTTATTATATGAAAAGAATAATTTTTACCTACTTTTAAATATGTTGTTTTGAAAGCACATTTATATAATTCCATCATCCAAAATTGTGGAGACTTTGAGACAAATTTAATGTGAGACATAGCATCTTTTTTTTTTAATGTAAAACAAGAAGTAAACTTAAAGTTCACATGTTTAATAATAGCAGGTATTCAAAAAATGTAATGATAGGAAGTTTCTTAGAAAAGGATCCCGAGAACAAGACCTGAAGGATATAGGTTAAAGGAGGTAGACAGACCTCTTGCCTGAAATTGGTGTATCTAGAATGATCCCCCCCAAAAAATGTATTTGTTTGTTTTTTTATATTATACTAGAGGCCTGGTGCACAAAAATTTGTGCACTTGAGGGGTTCCTCAGCCCGGCCTGCGCCCTCTCGCAGTCCGGGACCCCTTGGGGAATGTCCACCTGCCAGCTTAGGCCTGCTCCCTGGGGGATTGGGCCTAGGCTGGCAGTCAGACATCCCTCTGGCAGCCCAGGAGCCATCAGACATTAGTCAGACATCCTTAGGGGCAGGAGAGGCTCCCACCACCGCTGCTGCACTGGCCAGCCATGAGCGAGCTTCCATCTGAGCGGCGCTCCCCCTGTGGAAGTGCACTGACCAACAGGGGGCAGCTCCTGCGTCAAGCGTCTGCCCCCTGCTGGTCAGTGTACATCATAGCAACTGGTCGTTCCGCCGTTGGGGTCGATTTGCATATTACCCTTTTATTATATAGGATTAAGGCCTGATTATAATCAAAAGTTGCTATGGTTCCATTAAAAGTCAGGAGTTCAAATATTTATTTCAGGATATTTTTCTCCAAAAAGCTATATAATATCATACTCTGTAAAGGAATTTAGAAGCAAACATCCATAATTCCTCGTTGATTGGAAAGGATTGTAAATTCCCTTCCTGCCTGAAAAATGAGAAATTGAACCAAATAGTTCTTAAAGTTCATATTATTTCTATTTGTTTAGCTTTGATCTTGCAGCTTAAATAATAGAAGGAATGGTGAATTATTATTAATGAACCAGCATATTCAAATACAGCCAAACTCTTTAAGTTAGCATCAGAGATTCTCTTATACACATCTTGGAGTTCTGGACCCTTCAATCAAACATAAGAAATGGAGTCTACATTTAGAGTGATTTTTAAAACTAATCTCAGCCTAAAGTTATCTTCTCTCCAACCACATGTGAAATAAACACAACAGGGCTTTTAAAATCAATTTTAAAGGAACTGTTTTGTTCCTATCTTTGAATTAGCTCTAGATCTGCAATCTACTGCCTGACTTCTGTTTTGCTGTGTTACTGCCTCAGGAATAGCTTACTTGTCTCTACTCGGTTAGGAATCTATCCTTGAACTGTAAACCCCTTCCCCAGGGCCATGGTTATAGGAGGCAAGTTTTCTGCCTCTTACATATTGCTTTCATATTTTGCCTGTTTCTTTACTTGTACTTTGAGAATTAGAATGGGAATACTGTTTTGAAGCTGATTGGATGTTGTGTTTTGAGAATTCATATGAACGATTTTGTTATGGAAAATACAATGCAACAGAAGGCACTTAATGAGACATTGCATTGGGCAGACATCCACATTGTGAAATGAACACCTAGATGCACTCCTGGATGCACCAATTCCTCATTTAACACCTATTTACATCCACCTAGCCATGGCTAGGGATGACTCAGAATGCAAAACTAAGTCAAGGTCAACTGGTTTATGAAAACTTGTAAACCAAACCATTAAGTTGCTGTATATTATATCAATCTAATCCATACCTGTTTCAAATTGGTGCAGATAGCAAAGATTTGAATCTATGGAACATGTTTTTTACACTTTAAAACAGCTTTCAGGCGCTTGGCAAAGTTTTCCAAATTATTTATCGTGGTCAAGAATATAGGTAAGTCAAGAGTGGATTCTGTATCTATCCTACTGATTTTCTATCTAATAATCAAGAAATAGAGAAGAAAAGGTAATCAAACTAGTACTACAATTCAGATCGGCAACCTACCAACGGGATAGTTGAAGCAGACTTGCCTCTGCCCGACTGGTCACTTAATTCAGAGTTGAGTGCCAGGTGGTGGGAATGTCCCACGTGCCCATTAACCAACGGCTCGCTCTGCTGGGTGAGGATGGTTTGAAATTAGTTCTGAGGGTGAAAGAATGCAGGTGCAGCCTTTGTCAATTCCATGGTTCTGTTTAACATTTTGCTTTTTGGCCAAAGTGGTGGGTGACACAAAAAGAGGAATGGGAAAATCTCACTGTGATAAATAGTTGTTAAAATGCCTCACCTTGGAGAAGAACAGGACTGCTTCATGCATATTCAGCATGCTTTAAGAATGCAATTTTAAAAGACTCAAACAGTGATGGCTTTTATAATGTCATTTTTATTTACTACAAAATTAAATTTTGATTTTTTTTTTCTGATGGAGATACCAAAAGGATGATAAGTGAAACTGTATTATACCCTAAAACGACTACATAAAAATCTCCAGATTTTAGAAGCACTTGTAGCTTCTAAAACATGTGCGTTCTTTTTATTTTACACAATATCATGAATCTTAAAATTATGTTCTTAAAACTTATTTTAAGTTCCCTGAAAAATACAATGACAAGCTGAATAAATGCTACATTTTCAGATTTTATTTCACTCATTTCCATCCTGGTTAAATTTCTCATTGTTGCACATCAGTTGATTCGTTGGCTTAGCAATTTAGTTTTCCGAGGCCAGGGATGCTAATATATTGTGTATAAGCGGTGATCTATTATTGTGGGGTTTTTTTATGCTTATTAAGTTTAGAGCCGCTTTTATGGAAATTAATGTCCCAAACTTCTTTAGCAGGAGATGTGACTGAAGCTTGAATTGTCAATTTTAAGTTACATCCTAGCTTGGGCTGGAGGCCAAAAAACAAACCTGCTTCATAGAACAGGAATTGTTTTTCAGGATTCTGTTGAAAATCTATTTATTATAAAACTTTCAAATATACAGAAAAACAGAAAGAACTGTGATGTGAACACTTACATCTACTTCCTGGTCCTGTCAATGACATTTTGCTCACTCTATTTTTATCACACATCTAGCCACCTAGCGACCTTCTACCCATCTACAGAACCATCTTTCTTTGATACATAAAGTAGAATTTTTGAATAAACTTAGGAATGATAATAAAGAAGTGCTGATATTTTAAAAGTCTACTAAAGTTTGGCCTGAGCACAGTCAGGGTTAAGAAAAATCCATAGAAGACTGCAGAGCATCAGGACTTTATAAAGAAAACTTGCTTTATTTTAATCCCCTGGAGTCTTCCAAACGTGTTTACCTTTTAACCATCCACCAAACAGTTCAACTATTTTCTTATTGGTGCAAAAAAACCAAAATCATAAATTAACAACACTGTGTTTTACGTTTCATCATATATGTAGAAATTAATCAAATACAGCCCCAAATGAAAGCAATGATTCAAGCTAAAATTTAAAAAAAAAAAAAGGATTTCTTACAAATACCATTTCTGAGCTCCTTGTTTTTAATACTTTTAAATGTCCTTAAGATACAAAATAATGGATAATTTTGTGAATTCTCAAAATTTTTGTTTGCTTGTTTGGTTTTGATTAGAAAATTCATTCAAAACATTGATTGATAGCTAAGCCTCTGGGCCCCTTCATTCTCAGACGTGAAATAGTCCCCTGTTTCTAACCTAGCCATGAAGGTCAGGTTGCAGATTGTAACGTGTACATCACCAAGCCAGCTACAGATGTTTCAAAGATTAGTAACTGGATTCACAGGGAAGTCAGAATGACCTGTGTATTCTGGAAATCAGAGCCTCATCCCTTACATAGACATCTTTATGAAAACGTCAATTACTTTTGAACAAGTACAATAAAAGATGGATATTATGAAGCCCAAAAGCAAAGCATATATCAAATTTAAACTGTACCTTGACATTTGGTGATACAAGAAGAATAAAACATTTTTCTATCAAGAAAAATCCATGGATGCCTCCAATTAGTCCCAACAGTTTCCAAATGTGACCTTTGCTTTCATGGAAATGCCCAGACTCTGAGGCTTCCTGCTTATGTAAACCAAGAACCTAAAAAAAAAAATTAAAAAAAAAATAAGAGAGAGAGAGACATAAAGAAATAACTTTTGATGATTTAAATATTAATTAGTAGGTCCAGTATTGAATATATTCAACTTTCATTCTGGGGCACCCCATGACAACTCCTGAAATAATTTGAAGCCCAGTTTGCTTTTAGATGTATAAATGCTTCCACCGCAGGGTTTAATTCCCGTCAAATAAAATGTGTACAAGAGGAAAGAAGGGAGAGCTGTGAGTAATTTCTGCTTATGAACACAATAAAGCCTAAGCTTATTTCAGCAAGTGGCCTAAATTTTCATACATTCTTAGTCCTTTCGCTGAATTGTTTTCCAGGAGTTCGAAAATATCTGCACAGCAATGCCTTGTAGCAAGTCACTGTATTTTATATCCAGAACAAATACAAAGGTATATTTCATCTGGCCTTTATTTTCCCCATGCCCCACTGAAATTAAAGAATATTTTTAATAATTGTTCAGAGAAGTAAAAAATCTGCCTGAAAGACATTTTCTGTTCAAGGCATACTATATGCCCGGCAATACTGTCAGCAACCTGAGACAGAAAAGGATACAGGAAAAGCATTAGGAATTTTCCTCTAGTTGACTCATCTATTGGTTGACTCACTACATTGGTTGACCTCATAATCTCTTATGAGCTAGTAATCATTATGTATCATATTCCTTTCCCAGGAGATGGCAATTTAAGAACTAGCTCAGTGGTTTCCACATTTAGGGTGTTACTGACCATTAAAAAAGAGAAAAACAAAGATTATATATGCACATATTTTATATGTATATATTTATACGTATATGTATGCAATAGATATTTATGTGTGCAAACATATATTTACACACAAGTGCATGAATGAGCATATACATTGAGTTACAAAACCAACATATGTTGGTCAACTTTTTCTTTTGGTAAAGACATTAACGATGCCCACCTAATATTTTTAATTATGATCCTACATAATAAAGAGGTAATATGTGAATTGACCATCACACCCTCGCATAAGATGGCTGGCAGGGGAGGGCAGGGGAGGGCGATCAGGCCAGCAGGGGAGGGCAGTCGGGGGAGACCAGGCCAGCAGGGGAGTGCAGTTGAGGGTGACCAGGCCAGCAGGGGAGGGGAATTGGGGGTGATAGGGCCGGCAGGGAGCAGTTAGGCATTAATCAGGCTGGCAGGGGAGCGGTTAGGGGGTGATCAGGCTGGCAGGCAGAAGCTGTTAGGAGCAATCAGGCAGGTAGACAGGTGAGGGGTTGGGAGCCAGCAGTCCCAGTTTTGTGAGAGGGATGTCCGACTGCCGGTTTAATCGGACAACCCCCGAGGGGTTCCAGATTGGAGAGGGTACAGGCTGGGCTGAGGGACACCCCGCCCCCCGCAGTGCACAAATTTCGTTCACCAGGCCTCTAGTTATTTCATAACATAGAGTATATTGTAATATCAGAGAACAGGAAAGAAACACAATCCTGGAATAAAATGCACATCTTTAAGTGGAATAAATTTAGCTAAATGGCATTTTTGGGGGGTCATTTCTCTGTAGCCCTTTGAACACTTGTCATGGATCACATTCAGGAACCTCACTGATTTTTTAGCTTTCCACCACCTTTGTACTGCATCTTCCTCTTCCCAATAACTTTTGTCCTCGTCTGGCTCCTTGAATAAAACTGCCTTCCAAAGTTCATGAAACCCAGCTAATCTTTTCAGTTCCCCTCATGCCTTGTTTCTGCAGAGCCAGGCCACAGTCCCACCCACACCAATCCACCCCTGCTGCCTGGAGCGATGTCACCCCGACCTGGGGAGACCCAGGAGGCCTTCAGATCCTTTTGCCGTTTCCCTGGATCCTGTGAGCAAACAACTCTGCAGCCACTGCAGTGACCTAGAAAAAGGCCTCGGCCACCGCCTCAAGCCAAGAAGCCCTGAAATATTTCCAGAAAATTAGATTACAGGGGAAATTAAAACTAATAATGGTTTGTTTCATTTCTCCAATGCTCAATTGGCCATTTTCAGAATGTCTAATATTATTGAGCCTCTAAGCAACAAGAGTGACCCTGTAGGAAAGTGCCAGAGGCGCGTGGAAAATTTTAACATCTTAGACTTTCTGAGAGGATGGATCATTTGTTCATCACAAGAGATTTCAGAGGAAATGGACACCCTCATCTGAAGACCCTTCTGCCTGAAGTCGTTGGCATCTCAGGTCCTAGTCCTTCCATTTCGGACAAATAAAGAGCCTTAAAACACTTCAACAGAGAGCCAACTTCCTGGTGCTTCCACTTTTCTTACAGGAAATCTGTACATTCTCCATTGGGCATGGTGGTCCAAATGAGGAGAGGTTAATGATGCTACTATTACAGGGGTACAGGCAAAGTCAAGGGTGCGGATACAGAATAATGAGACAACCAGAAACCTGCCACCCCAGGAAACCATTAGCACTCGGGGATGAAAAGGCAAAGGTTGGAAGTAATGTTGCTGAAGCTCAGTGGGAGGCGGAGCTGGGAGGAGGCCTCCATGGGAGCTGTAGGACTGCAGGTTAACTGCTGCTTCTACATCGGCCATTTTCAACCTTTGTCGCCTCATGGCACGTACACTAATGACCAAAATTCTGGGGCACAACAAAAAATAGGTATAATTTTTATTCATTCACACCAAATGGCTATTGTGTTGGCTGTTGTCATTTTTTTGTTTGACAATCTAAGGGAAAAGAGGTCGGTATCCCTGACTAAATATTGCAGCTTTTAAAAATTACAATCTAAATTGCAATGGCACACGGGTTGGAAATCGCTGTTCTAGAGCAAGTACCAGAGCCAGGAGGGGGCAGGAAGATACACTCCTGCCCCTCACGCCTCCTCCCCTCACTTTCTGTTGGGCCTCACATTGGCTGAACCCAACAACAATAACAGCCTGTGAGGGGCCTGCGGAGATGCAATCTTCCCAGCACAAAAGACAGCAGAGAAGGGCAGAGAATGAAACCGATGAGTTTGGGGGCACTGGGGAAAGCCAGTGCGATGCTTACAGCCCATTCATCTTTATTTACAGGTAAGTAGTAAGTGCTTACTGAATTTTTCTTAGTAGGAATCTACATCTGGTCACCTTTTTTTTTAATTTCAAAAATAAGCATAGCGTGGTGAACATAATAATTGGTCATCTCTTTTTTCCTACACATGTTTTGCAGACATAATATGCATTTCCGAGGAAAACACTGGCCACTATGTCTACTCATCCAAGGTGCTGTGAAATCTTGCATAAGTACCTCCAATTGCTAAACATAAGAAGAAATTGGACCTACTCTATCTGACATGGAAGGAGAAAAAAAAAAAAGCTTACCTGAGGGATAAGGTGGAGCAGAGCATCCCCAGAGAGTGTCCCAACAGCCAGGCCCACAAAGAGCTGCAGGATGAGCCTGTAGTTCTCCCCGCAGCTGTGGAAGAGGATCAGCGCTGTCCCGAGCATGGAGCCCAGCGTGAGCAGGGCCACAGCCACCGTGCTGTAGCCGTATTCTAAGCGGGAAGGAGAATGCGGAAGCAGTCAGTGCTCACACCCTCTGCGAGTGCCTCAGCTGGTGCGAGTGACAGAAGAATCTGTTTTACTGTACAGTCCATAGGGCTATGAAATTGTTTATGTGTTATACTGGGTAAAATGTTTTCATTTTTAAGAATGAAAAGATTTGCCCTAACCGGTTTGGCTCAGTGAAGAGAGTGTCAGCCTGGGGACTCAAGGGTCCCAGGTTCGATTCCGATCAAGGGCATGTGCCTTGGTTGCGGGCACATCCCCAGTAGGGTGTGTGCAGGAGGCAGCTGATCGATGTTTCTCTCTCATCGATGTTTCTAACTCTCTATCCCTCTCCCTTCCTCTCTGTAAAAAAAACACAACACCAATAAAATATATTTTAAAAAAATCAATAAAAACATATTTTTTTTTAAAAAAAGAATGAGAAAATTTTCACCAAACAATCCTGCTGCTTTAAAATTACCCCAATGACCTCTTATTAAAAAAGCACTGTGGGCCCGAGCTGGTGTGGCTCAGTGTCGATCCATGCACCAGGAGGTCACGGTTTGATTCCTGGTCAGGGCATGTGCCCAGATTTGGGGCTCGATCCTCAGTAGGGGGCATGCACCAGGAGGCAGCCAATCGATGTTCCTCTCTCATCGATGTTTCTCTTCCTCTCACTTGCTCTTTCTCTAAAATCACTAAAAACATATTTTTTTAAAAATCACTGTGGCAAGCAAGGACCTAGCTCACCTTCCACTCCCAAGATATTAATTTCTCTCACTTTAAACCACCACCTCCATGGACAGGTGGTAACGATACCCATCTAATCACACTTAAGCCTTTCAAAGGCAAGGCGGCAGTGTTATGATGGGAGCATGCTGTTTGGGCCCATGGAGACCTGTGTTTGTATACAAAGTGAGTACTTTCTTCCAGAGGTTCTCAAAACTATTTGTGATGTCAAGAGTGTTTATTATTCTCAATGACTAACATGAGTGTTTGCGTTGGTAAAATCTGATCAATGAATGTGTAGCAGTTGGTAATAAACTTGGACAACCTACATTTTGGATTATTGCAATAATATTTTGTAACCTCTAAATTTATTCCATGTTTCTAGATTCTAGATTTTTTGAAAAATATTCAGAAAGTACAATTTTTAAATTATTCAAACAAAAACAAATGTGTATGAGGGGAGAAGCCAGAGAGGAGGGAAGAAAGAGTAAGATTAATAGAGAGAAAAATGGCTTTCAGATATAAATGATTTGGAGAAAAAGTGTTATTCAAGCCACCATTTCCCTTTGGTTGCAGATACTCTGCTTTCTACTTACTTAGACATTATTAGTAAGTCATGGAAAGCTTGTTTATAAACAATAAAGGAAGGTAATTACCAAATTAAACTGTCATTTCCTTTAGTGACTACATACAAATAAATAATAAGTTATATCAAACAATATAGTTATCATAGTCTTTAAAGTTCAGTGTAGATTTTAAGAAACTATCACCTTAAAGCTAGCTATCACATAAAATAGCCTATTCTCATTATTCTTGTTCTGTTCTGGAACATTCACTCTCTACATTAGATCATATTAATGATTCTAGCTGATAACATGGTAATAGGCTTGTGATTTTTAAGATGACCTTTACTGAATTATAAGTTCTAATTATAATTATGACTTACTGAATTATAAGTTCTAAATTATATAGGCGTGTAGTATTAAAATAGAGTTGGTGGTATATTCAGAGAAGGCAAAAAACTTTTAAACTTTGATTTTCTCACTCTCATCACCATTCGTTCACTGCTAGGAATCTCCTATAAAGTGGTTGTTATTCAATGGATATAGAGGATCAGTTTTGCAAGATAAAAAAAATCTAGAAATCTATTGCACAACAATGTGAAAATACTTAATACCACTGAACTGTAGATACTACACTTAAGAATAATTAAGATGATAAATTCATGTGTGTGTGTGTGTTTTTACCACAATTAAAGTTTAAAAAATGGTAAAAATGGTTTGGAATGGTCATACACCGAGAAGTTTTATTTTGTTCTAATTTAGCAAAAATACCTATGTTATAAAAAAGATCCCCAGAGACATTTAACCAAGTTTCATATCCCATTCTTCCACAAATAGATTCTATGTGGGAACGTAATACATAAAGACTTTCGAAGTTTAATATGAGAACCTGGGTTCCTAATAAAATTCAAAGTTGCCACATTTTTAGGGTAGCTACAAAAGATCATAAAATGACAAGAACTCACAAAGACAAATTAGGGTCTAACATTTCTGAGGTAAAAGGCAAAGTTTCAAGTTCTGCAATCCTTCTCCCCCTCACCTGCCTTGTCCTGAGGGCAGCTACCATGTGGTATTGGAAGAGGATGAACATTTCCTAACTTTAGAGTTTATAGATGTTTTTATGTCCTCTGCGAGCCAGATCTCACCTGCTCCCATATGGCAAGGACAGCCTGAAAACCATAAAGTCTCTGACTTTTGTGGCCATCGGACTCTGCTAACTAACTTACCCCAGTTCCCTTGGCGTCTTGATTGGAGTCAGGTGACTGACAGACAGGTGCTATGTAAATGTTTCTCATCGTTACAACAGAACTTAACATAATAAGATGATTGGACTTTGGGTGGTGGGCACACAAAGCAACATACAGATCACGAGTCACAGAAATGCACACTTGAAACCTATATGATCCTACTAACCAATGTCACTCCAATAAATTTAATTAAAAAAAGAATAGAATAGCCTGGCCAGGATTGCTCAGTGGTAAAGGGTTGACCTATGAACCAAGAAGTCACCGTTTTGATTCCCAGTCAGAGCACATACCCGAGTTGTGGCTCAATCCCCAGTAGGGGGCGTGCAGGAGGCAGCTGATTGGTGATTCTCTCTCATCACTGATGTTTCTATCTTTCTCCCTTCCTCTCTAAAATCAATAAAAATATATTTTAAAAAGAACATAAATTCTTAGCCATTCCCGAGCAGCTACTTTGCATGGGTCTGAACCTTGATTTGTACATGGTAATAATGCTTTTTCCTGGAAACTGAATTGGAGGTGATGCTTAGAGATTGAATTTTACCACACTGTTTTCATAATAACATCTCCCTGTGTCCTCCCCTCTTCATCTTATATTTCTGTAATTTCAAAAGGCCAATACAAACCTTACCCTTTTGTTACATAATGCAACATTTTTAAATTGAGAACACTAATGCTCTCTAGTGAGTGTGATTTGTTTGAATGTTTGAATTTTTCTTAGAAAGACTATTCCGTGGAAGGGTCTAGAAGGTCATTAGAAAGATAAAAACTTTTCCATGAATCTGCAGTTCATAAGCCCATCCCCAGGGGCCTGTGTGTACCAAACACTGTGACACGAGGTGGAATACAGACATGCTCATGGAAGCTCTAGGTGCCATAGTTTGTCTGCCTCATCATTTCTGAGTCATCATTGACCACGAGGCGCTGAATTATTTAGCTGCTCACTTTTAAGAAAGCCTTCTCCCTCTCAGTAAATGTGGAGTTTTAGCTATGTAGGCCTGGCATGCTTTTGTTCACCTAAAATCTTCAAATGAGTCTCTTGATGCTGCAGAATCTACTGTGAGTTAGAAGTGAGTAGCCAAACAGTTCAGCTTTTATGGGCACTGCAGACTACCTCAAAGAAAAAGAAAAGTAATTCTGAAAAAAACATATATAAGGCCCCTAGGTCAAATAATTGTACAAATAATTTGTACAAATTATTACCATTTGTACATGGTAATAATGCTTTTTCCTGGAAACTGAACTGGAGGTGATGCTTAGAGATTGAATTTCACCACACTGTTTTCATAATAACATCTCCCTGTGTCCTTCCCTCTTCATCTTATATTTCTGTAATTTCAAAAATGTACAATAATTAATGTACAATAATTTGTACATTATTACCATGTACAAATAATTAATGTACAATAATTAATGTAATATTAATTAATATTAATGTAATATTTTAAAGGTTTCATATGTTAGCTCAAATTTTTTTATCCATCAGGGATGTTCTTAGGCAACCTTTTTTTTTTCTTTTAAATATACAGTGCTTTAAATTACAAAATGCAAATTTGTACATATTATCTCATTTGAACCTCACAGGTACCTTTTTAAGCCTTACAGTAGGGTTCACCTACTGCCCTGATCCAATGGGATACAGGCGAGTGCACTTCTGGGGGTGCCAGCCAGGTCTGGGGGGCTGGTACCTGCCTGCACTGGTCATGCCAGAGCAGCCTCTTTGGTGTACCCCAGTGTGCCTTCGTTTTTTGTTTTTTGTTTTGCATGTGCCATGAAGTGTGAAAGGATGGGAACCCTGTAGGACATCACTGCTTTCCCACTGTGCAGAACAAGAGATGGGCTCCGGGAAATAAGGAGATTGCTGAAGTTCACAGAGTTGGCTGGGGATAGAAGCCATGACTCAACTCTGCATTTCTGATTCCAACATTCCAAGTGTTCCTTCTCTCATACCATGCCACCTCTCAGCTATGCACTTCCCAGGTGGTCTATAACTAAGTCCGATAGAGGGGACCAAATCATTTTACAAAAACTGTATACAAGATGTAAATATTCATTGAAAGCTAGCATAGCACAGTGGTTAAAAACAATGACTGGGGTGGTGACGGCCTGGGGCAGGGACGGGGGCAGGCTAGAAAAGGTCAATGGGTGGGAAAGGGGGAGGGGACATAGGTAATGTTTTCAACAATAAAGATTTTTTTTAATAAAAATAAAAGTAAACAATAACTCTGGGACCAGGTTCTCTGGGTTTGAATCCCTTACCAGAGGTGTGTCTTTGGGCAAGTCACTTAACCTCTGTGTGCCTCAGTTTCCACATCTGTAAAATGGGGGGTAATTATCTCGCTCATGGGGATGTTGTGAGGATGGCATGAGTTGATACATGTAAAATGCTTAGGACAGTGCCTGGATTATAGTAGGCACCCTGTGTTCACGGTTATTATCACACATATTGGGTGCATTCACTTTCTGAGGGAAGAATCCGATCTTACTCTCCAGAGTGGTCGGCGGAAGGTTTGCTTGCTGGTCCTTGGGCAGCTGGCAAGAGCAGCTGAGCAATTGCTGGATGATTCCTGGACTCATTTGCTTAAAGTCCTCCTTAGAAATAGGTGAAAGGCTATTCTGTAGAAATATCTCCACGAGTTGCCCGGCAGAGAAGCAAGTCTGTGTGGGAAAAACATACATTGTCACTAACCTCAGCACACAAACTCACCATCATTTGGCCTTCTAGCTAAAATGGACACATGAAGCCATAGCATTTAGCATTTACATACCAGCTAGTTGACACAGCGTTTGTCAATTGACATCTCTTCTCCACAGATACTATTGTTTTTACCTACTGATATTTACCTAAATCTTTGCAATTTTTATATTGTATGGGCATATGTATAAGAGATGAGGATTATAAATAAACAGGTCTCTAAAAATTCCCACAAGGCATTTGTCTATCTCAGAAGTGTTAAGGGTTGGTTTTGTGTATCAAAAATTACATTAAAAAGTTTTATTTTTTTATTTTTTTAAAAAAAATATATTTCTTTATTGATTTCAGAGAGGAAGGGAGAGGGAGAGAGAGAGAGAAACATCAATGATGAGAGAGAATCATCGATCGGCTGCTCCAGCATGTCCCCCACTGGGGATCGAGCCTGCAGACCAGGCATGTGCCCTTGGCTGGAATCGAACCTGGGACCCTTCAGTCCATAGGCCAACGCTCTATCTACTGAGCCAAACCAGCTAGGGCTAAAAAGTTTTAATATGTGGGTGAGAGTGGTGCATAGTTCCACTGGCGCAGAGGGGTGTCTTCTATTGAAATAAGACTCCATTACAATGCCTTTGTGATCTTTAGCTACAATCAGTCAGGGTTTTTTTTTTTTAATTAGTAATTTAAAAGGCTTGTCTCTTCAGAGCCAATTATCTTCTCCTTTCTGTTCCCCTCTGCAGATATCTATTATCTTTCACAGTCTGGGCCTTTCTCTGATAGAAAACACCTGGACATAGAAGCCCCAACTCTGAAGTGGACTTTCAGTCCCAAACCCCAAGATTGAGCTGATTCTGCAAGTCCTGACAGATCTGACGGCTTCAGCAGAGCCACAGAGGGGCTCTCTCGGGTCAAACACTCATCCAATTCAGTAAGTTTTGCTGCTTAACCACGGCTGCCAGCCTCATTCCTGTGGCAGAGGAAGGTGTTTCCCAGCAAGCAACGGGGCAAGAACTCCAAAAGGTATCTGCTACAAGAAGCAACATCAGAAAACTAAATGTGATTTTTTTCTCCTTGTCAAAATAAAAAAATCACCAGAGACTATTCTCTTTTGTATCATTCGTTACTAATGGAATATAATTACTTCATTAAAAATACTGACAACCAAAAGAGAAACTAGCAACAAACTTTGGTAATGAATCCCCCATAATAAATATTCTTATTGGAGAATGTCTAACTGGTAAGTAAGAGTGGAGAGGAAAACAGGAACAGAATGCCATGGACCTTTCCCCAGTTCATTGTCAAGAAATTGAATATTCTATTGTAAGCTTCTGTACCCTTGACCTTTATTTGCTGTTTCTGTGCTATTTAGGTCATTGTTTTACATTTCTTCTGAAATCACTAACAGGAATGTTCTTAAAAGGCAATGCATTATATTCTATAACATTTTTAAAACAATACATTTTTTATTAAAAAGAAACTTGAATAAATATTTAGATTACTCAATGACCTTTAAATTTTCTTTATTCCTTTACATAAAACTTCAAAATATATGTATACGTGAGTTGATATCAGACATCTATGGTAACTTTACAAACGTATTCTAAAGCAATGGTTCGTGAACTTTAGTTTTGAGAATCCCTTGGAGGGGGTTTTAAAGGCAGTGCTGGGTTCCATTCTCAGAGATTACGACTCAGTAGATCCTGGGATGGGCCCTGAGAACTGGCATTTCTAACAAGTTGCCAGGTGATGCTGATGTCACTGACCCAGGGACAACACTCTAAGAACCTCTGTTCTAAAATAGGAAGAATTGCCCTAACCCATTTGGCTTAGTGGATAGAGCGTTGGCCTGCAGACTGAAGGGTCCCAGGTTCGATTCCGGTCAAGGGCACATGCCTGGGCTGCGGGCTTGATTCCCAGTAAGGGGCATGCAGGAGGCAGCAGATCAATGATTCTCTCTCAGCATTGATGTTTCTATCTCTATTAAAAAATAAAATAAAATAGGAAGGATCCTCAGATCTAGTCTCCTATCTTAGGGTTTCATCCAGAGGCACAAGGAAGGTGATATGTTGAGGCAGAGGAGAATTGTAGAAGAGGTTGTTTTGTTTATTTTGCATAGTTAGCACAGAAAAATGATTATTATTGTTCTTAGAAAATGCATGTCTTAAGTAATTTTTATAAAATAACCTTAGTTAGTTTGGCTCTGTGGATAGAGCATTGGCCTGAGAACCGAAGGGTCCTGGGTTAGATTTTGGTCAAGGGCACGTACCTTGGTTGCAGGCTCCTCCCAGCCTGAGCCCGGGGCACATGCAGGAGGCAACCAATTAATGTGCTTCTCTCACATCGATATTTCTCTCTGTCTTTCCTTCTCTTCCACTCTCTCTAAAAATCAATGGAAAAATATCCTCGGGTGAGGATTTAAAAGAAATCATAACCTTAGCCCTGGAAGCTTTTAAAGAGACTTCACAAACAAGGATTAATATAAGCATTAACTCTTGTCACCTTCAGTTGACTATAATAAGCATTGAAAGAGTCCATGTAAATAGATACCTTTTAAGAGAAAAGTAAAAAAGTGACAGAAATTCATTTTTAAAAGTATATAAAAGTAAAAATACATGATGCTGCCCAATCGTGCATTCATCACTTATGGGAACAGCATTCAACAGTGTTAAGAATATGTGAGGAATTGTACTCTTTTAAAATACAGATTGTGCTCCGTAAAAATATCAGAGATACAAATAACAAAAGCAGTTTTTAGTTATTTAAATCAACATTTTCTAAGCAATAGCATAGTTGTTAAGGGCACTGAATATGCTATCAGGCAACCTATGTAATAATCCTCAGTTCCTGTGAACTTAAGTACTTACTTATTAGCACCATGCCTCCATTTCTCACCTGTAAGATGGATTAATATGACCTAACCTCTCATAGTTATAATAATAATTAAATGAGGCAGTGCAGGTGAAATAGCAGTGTCTAATACATAGTAAGTACTCAATATATGTAAGCCATTATCATGGAATATCAATTTTTTTCTATTTTAAATGATTAGGGCAGGGAAGGATTCCATGGTCAAAGTTTGAGAAATCCTAGATTAAATAAGAATAAAGAAGTTTATTTACTAAAGGACTTCCCAAAGCAGTGCAATGTGTTATCTCCAGTATTTCCCAAGCTCATTTCACCATAGCACCCATTTTTAAGAAGCATCACAGTACACTAGTGAATGTATTTTGGAATACAACTTTAAGAAATATGGAGTGTTTATAAGATCACATATCACCTGAATGTATTTTGGAATACAACTTTAAGAAATATGGATATGTTTATAAGATCACATATCACCTTTTCTCAAAAACCATTTCAATGCTACCTACTATACAAATATTTCTCTGTTGCTCACAGCCCAAAGTAATCTCTTTATATTCTAATCTAAATTAATCTAATCTAAGTTTAAAGTATTCATTCATTAGTATTATAAGTATTTATGTAATGTCTATATCCCCCCCACTACCCTGTAAGCCTGCAAGCTCCATAGGAGCTGTGCCTGTTTTTGTTCAATTCCATATCCCTAATGCCCACAATAGTGATTGGCACATAGTAAAGGCTTAATATATGTACATTGAATTAATTATTCATGCATTCAACATAGACCCAAGGGAGGAAAGAGTAATATATCTTATTCTCTTAAAAATCATGGCCTCATGTTTATGTTTGCAGAGAGCCATTTATAGAAGGGGGAAAAAATGACCATTCTGTGGAAACTAGGGGCCCGGTGCACGAAATTCGTGCACGGGGCAGAAGGGGGAGAGATTTCCCTCAGCCCGACCTGCACCCTCTGTCATGTTTCGGGACCCTGGCCACTCCGGACCTAGGCACAGGCCTACAGGCTTGGGGCAGCCTGGCTCCCGAGGCCCCATTTTATCAAGAGAACAAAGTCGGCATTAGTTACAGCCCTCACCAAACCCAGTACAGTGCGTCTGTGTGTACAACTGCCTCGTTCATGTGCCTGCTTCGCCCTACTGAATTACTAACATCTTGAGGACATAGCTCTGTCTTATGCTGCTTCACCTCCAGTGCCTGCCCTGGTGCCAGGGACCTGGGAGTGTTTTCTGAGTGAGTGAGTGAGTGAGTGAGTGAGTGAGTGAGTGAGTGAATAAATGAGTAAGTGAATGAGTGAATAAATGAGTGAGTAAGTGAATGAGCAAGCGGCTATGGGGCGCCCTGCTCCAGGCTGCCCGGCGCCCACCCCGGGAAGTTCACGCCCCATTCCTGGCTGCCCAGTGCCCCGCTCCCAGCTGCCTAGTTCCCGCCTGGCTCCCAGCTGCCCGGCACCCTACTCCCGGCTGCCCGGCGCCTGCCCCAGGAAGTTCCCGCCCCACTCCCAACTGCCCAGCGCCCCACTCCTGGCTGCATAGTTCCCTCCCTGCTCCCAGCTGCCCAGTCCCCCAGCCCCTCCTTCAGCAGAGGCCAGATCGCCGGGGACAACCCAAGCCTCCAACTCCATGGCCGCCGCCATCTTTGTTTGTTGGGTTAATTTGCATATCACTCCGATTGGCTGGTGGGTGTGGCTTGAGTGTAGCAGAGGGATGGCTAATTTGCATGTTTCTCTTTTATTATATTGGATAGAATATTCTTACATTTAAGAAAAATACATATTACTTTAAGGTTTCTACAACTCTTATGCCACTTTCAGAGCTGGGATTTCTTTGACAGTGGCAAATGAGGATATAAGAGGAATAATGACAATACCTGATCCCAGGAAATTGGACCATCCACTGACTCTTGGTTCATGGATACAGATAGATTAGGGTAACTCCCATCATGAATTGTTACGTTGTTTTTTTTCCTTTGAAGCTGATGGACTTGATCTTTTCTGTTACAGGTAACTTTGGTCCAGAGAGTGTTTAGGAGTTGGTCTAGTTCTAGAAATTTTATACAAAGTCAGTGTCACATAGAATAAAGACAGGTCAATTTCAGAATAATCACAATTTCACATGACCACAGCATTGATATTTTATTAAGTAAATTTAGTTCTAATGAAAAGAAAATTTTATTTTGAACAATGATAAATAACATTTATACTTCACATGGATATTGGTTCCTTCACAAGATCTTGGCTAAGCTTTGGGGCTGAACCAAACATATATATATATATATACACATACATATATACATACATATATATATACATATATATATGTATACTAGTATACTAGTATATCTCTTGGAGAAGATGAAATAAGCAATTCTACCAATGGAGTGCCTTCCATTGGGCCAACTAATTCTTTTTATAGATGTTCCCTACAAAAATGTAAATAAAAGATGAAACTGGCCTAATCCTTAGAAATTTATTCCCCTGAGACACTACACAACTTTAAGTTGACTAAAAATTTTAATGTACTTAAATCAATCAAATTATTTTTCTCTTAAGTGTTCATGCAAAAAAGAGACAGGAAATGAAAAAATGTTGAGGTTGTAGAGACAAACTAGAACTTCTTTTCTAATACTACTGTGGTATGGTTATTAGTTCATAGATTACAGTTAAGTTTCCCTCGGTACAGCTGTCAGCTTTTACAAATTGATACAGAGAATAATTATGCATAATGGTGAAATTCTTTGAATTTATTCATCTTTTTACTTGTGAATAAAATATCTCTGGTATTTTCCTAAGTGTTGCCATCAGTGGTAGAAAAAAACTGCAAACTAATGTTACTATAATATTTTATTTTAAATGACCAGTTTTCAACAAAAAAAAATCATGAGACTTGCAAAGAAATGGGAAAGTGTGACACAGAACTTATGTTAAAGTTCAAATGAAAATTTTGGAGTTGGAGAATACAATAATTGAAATGAAAAATTCACAGCATATTTGAGTAGCTCACAGCATATTTGAGATGGTAGAAGAAAGAATCATTGACATACACACAATTTCCATTTTACAGACATTCACACAATTTCCATTTTACAGAAACAAAACAAAACAAAAACCATGTTTAAATTAGGAAAATGTCAACATTAATGGAAATTTTTACATTAAGGAATCATTAATGTGATATTAGTAATAAGGTGATTTAAAAAAATTCTTTCTTTTAGTTTATATACTAGTAGAAATACTAAGATTGATTATTTGCTTCAAAATAGTCAAGTAATGAGAGAGGATGGAGGCAAATATAAGAATATCCAATTGATGGTAATTATTGAGACTAGATACTGTGCATATGTGGGTTCATTATATTATTGTTTATACTTTATGTTTAAGAATCTCTATGATAAAAAAATTAATAAACAACAACACTTAAAACTAGCATACTTCTTTTCCTCCCAACCCAAAATATAATCAATTGCAGTGGAGCTGTAGCTCAGAGGCAGCTGTTAGAGAAAATGTTTCATGACTCTTGTAATGAGTATCTAATTGAACTGAGATGGAATGGGGCTCTGAAATGGAATTGAATTCTCAAATGCAAAAGTGGCTGATTCTTTGGAGTGGTGAATAAACAATACCATATATAGATGATGTATTATAAAATTATACACCTGAAACTTATATGATTTTATTAACCAATGTCTCCCCAATAAATTCAATTTAAAGAAAACCTATTTGAAAAAATAATAACAAAAATAGACATAGAAGTCCAGAAATCACAGAGTCCCAAGTAAGATTAACCCACAGAGGCCCACACGAAGACACATTATAATTAAAATGCCAAAAGTTAAAGACAAAGAGAGAATCTTAAAAGCAGCAAGAGAATAGCATTAGTTATCTATAATGGAATTCCCATAAGACTATTAGATGATTTCTCAACAGGAATTTTGTAGGCCAGAAGGAAGTGGCAAGAAATATTCAAAGAGATAAAAAGCAAGAACCTACAACCAAGATTACTCTACCCAGCAAAGTTATCATGTAGATTAGAAGGGCATATAAAGGGCTTCCCAGAGAAGAAAAAGCTAAAGGAGTTCATCACCACCAAACCAGTATTACATGAAATGTTAAAGGGTCTTCTTTAAGAAGAAGAACGATCAGAAATATGAACAACAAAATGGCAATAAATAGTTATATATCAACAATTTAATCTAAAAAATATATACAAACAAGCAGAACAGAAACAGACTCATGGATACAGAGAACATTTTGACAGTTGCCAGATGGGAGGGGGGTTAGGGAGATACTTAATATCTCTTAAAAGCAATTATTTAGATGTTTTAACCAGGATTCATGATGATTAATATCTAAACAATTGGCTTTAACCTTACAGCACAGATTGCCTCTAACTGTATTTTGTATTGTAATATGATATCTCTTCCAATTTTTTTAGAGTAATCAAGCCCTCCAGTGGCATAGATTTTTACATTAAAATACTTGAAAAGTGGAATCATTGCATGCCTTCCCCTGAAATGGAAATTCTATTGCTAAAATTTCTCAACTCCTGGTTTTCATATCAAAATTATTCTCAGGATAATATGCCTTTCCTGGTTTCTTTCCTAGTCATGACAGCTAGGTAACACGGTTTCATTGTATTTCAATTTTCATTTTAACAGAACATGTAAATAAGTTGTAGAAAAACACATCTGTCATTCAATTTGTTGTACAAACATGTCCAGAGAAAGATCAACACTGAATTGTATGGCTACTAGTTCTTAATCCCTTCTTTCGGATTTGGGAGATTTATATAGATCATGAGGGTATTGTTGGTCCCTTAGTAAATTCATATCTCCCTTTATGTTGTGACTTCCCAAGAGGAAGTGTGTTGGCAGCAGCACCAGCTATTATACAACACACCAGGATCCCTTGGTGTGCAAAGTTGGACATTTTTGTGCAGATTAAAAAAATAAGTCCTTGCATTTTTTAATGTCTTGCCAAGAACAACGAAATCTGCAAAACAGATATTCTGATTCTATTCCTGGCGTCTTTGAGCCCCAAATACCTGGCAGTCATGGATGCAACCAAAATAGATATTTTATATTACTTTTATTTAAAATTAAATTACTTACATTTATGGTTACAAGTAAACTGCTACCAATGCTTTTGCACCATTTGGCATTCTACACAATGTTTTGCCACCCCTGTCTCAGCACTATGTACTAAATAGGAAAGTGTTCAGTCACTGTCATGGCAGATCATTAAAAACGCTCACTTTGGCTCTACCTTCATGATTTCATCATCACTGCCGAAATGAGCGAAGTCCGTATTTTGGCTTCAGCATCACATAAATATTATCATAGGATGCTTGTTAAAAAGGTTACCTGAGCTCTTACTACAAACTAAGATAAAATGGTGTATAAAATGTGCCTGAACAAATTTAGTCATCAAAAAGCATCAGTTTTTCTTTTGACACAATTTGTTTAGTAGGTGTGACTTGGAAGTTAAATTAATGAAAAACATCCTTACCTGATAGGTGAAGAGTATTTGTACTGTTCAAGGAACCGAAAATATATTCTGTAAAATAGTCTGGGGAAGGTAAGTTGCTTTGCCCCAGACATACACCTTGAAGAGACAAAGCAATGATTGTTGCTGCCAACTGAGGAAGCGTATTTTCATCAGCACCGTCACTGCTTAGTATCCCAGACTTTTTCTGCAGCATTTTGGTTTCCATACACTGAAATCAGATACAAAGTCAGATGAAAATTTTAACCTCTGAAGTCATTTTAAGTAAAACGTCTCTGGGATTTCCCCAAGGACAAGGACTAGTTCTTCATCTAAAAGAGGATTGAATTATTTGTGGAAACATGGCTACCATTGTTTTCTAGTCTGAGATATACCTCTATTTGGGAAATACTTGTTTAGCTAACATTTCTCATTACTCCTATAAAGATGTGTCTTCTTCAAGGAGATCTCTTGGTTTTACTATTCACATCCTTTCATTTGGTGGATTCTCTCCAGCTTCAAGTACAGCCTGCAGTAATGACTTTCAAATCTATATTCCCGACCTTGAATTCATACTTGTTCTGCTGCCTTGTATCATCACAGAGCACATCCCCTTTCATACTTGCCTTTAGTCTCAAGCTCAGTGTGTGCTGATCACAAATCAAAGATAACATAGTGTCTAGGTTCTTTGAACTACCATGGGACATAGGACATACGACATAGGGTCTTTTTCATGCATACAGCAATTTTCTTCATTTAAAATATGAGCTCCCGAAAGGCTTGAATTTTACCTTATATATCAATAACATTCCCATTTATTTATTTAAATACTAGAAGACTGGTGCACAAATTCATGCACGGGTAGATTCCCTAGGCCTGGCCAGCGATCAGGGCTGATTGGGGCCTTCCTGCTGCCAGCCGGGGCCTTCCTTCCGGCTGCTGGACAGGGCCTCCCTTCCTTGGCTGCTGACTGCCGGCTGGGGCCTTCCTTCATTCTGTGCTGCCCCCTGGTGGTCAGCACATGTCATAGCAAGTGGTCAGTCTCCCGGTCAAACTCTGGTGGGGAAAATTTGCATATTAGGCTTTTATATATATAAATATATTGGGTGCCTACCATGTGACAGACACTATGCTAAATCCATTACATATACACTGTCTTTTTATTCTCCCAAAACTCCATGCAGTGGATATTCCTTTTCACAGATCGCCTACCCAAGAAAAGGCAGAGTCACAATTTATCCTTAGATCTGACTCCACAGCCTATGCTCTTCAATACTCTTCCTCTTGTATATAGAAATAGATTGAGCCCTAGCCAGTTTTTCTCAGTGGTTAGAGTGTCAGCCTGCAGACTGAAGGGTCCTGGGTTCAATGCTGGTCAAGGGCACATATCTCGGTTGCAGGCTCAATCCCTGGCCCCGGTAGGGGCGTGTATGGGAGGCAACTAATTGATATGTCTCTCTCACATCGATGTCTCTGTCTCTCCCTCTCCCTTCCACTCTCTCTAAAAATCAATGGGGAAAAAATCCTTGGGTGAGGATTAACAACAACAAAAAAGAAATAGATTGAAACCCAGGATGGTGATGGAATTTTTATATCATCAAAGGAAGTTCCATAGCATAGGGCTTGGGACAGACAGATAAGGCTTCACTACTATGTCTGCTATCTCTAACTAGATAAACTTGGGCAAAATGATTATCCTTATTAACCTTTCTATTCATTATCTATAAAAAACGACAATGCCACCCAACACAAAGATTATTAAGATGAGATGAAATAGTGTGTGTAAAACACTTAATATAGTAGTTAGTATACAGGACACAGTCAGCTCATATCAGCTATTGTTATTGTTGTTCCCAGAGTCTAGGAGTACATCTGATATTAGCTGGAGAAAGTGGCAAGATACAGATCAAGAAAGACCTTTTATTCAGCGCTCTGAAAAATGTTCCCCTGAAGACTCCAGGGGAACCACTGAATGCTATAACAATAGAAAAATACAATAAGGTATTTTCTAGAAATATTACTCTGGTGGAAAAATAGTGAATAGATAGATAGGGGTAGAATTCAAGGGCAGGAAGTCTAGTTAAGAAGTTATTAATTCAAGATATTTCTTGCCCTACGATAGTAGAGCTAGGGATGAAAAAAAGTAGATACATTTGAGGAATATGAAGAAAGCAGACTAAAAGACTTAGAGGAAAATGGGAAGGAGTACAGTGAAAAATGACTCATGTTTCTGGGTTTGACAACTATATAATGGTAATGCTATCCACTAGCCCCCACATTTTTCCTAAATACCCAATATAGGTCTGCTACTTTTCTAGACACTGGAAATGCAATGATGACCAAAACCAAAAGCATTTCTGCCCTGAAGCTTAAAGTTAGTATTATTAATAAAATAATAATTTAACCTATATATATATAAAAGCCAAGTGACCAGAATGATGAAACGGCCAGAACGACTGGAACAGCCGGTCACTATGATACACACTGCGGTGGCCAACTGGCCCTATCAAGGCCCTGATTGACCACCCCCAACCTCCTGCTGCCCCTCCCCCTGGCCAGCCTGACCCCAATCAGCCCCTCCCACCCTGATCGGGGGCAGGGTCAGCTGGCTAATCTCCCATGTCCCCTCCCCCCTGCTGGCCGGACCCCACCCATGCACGAATTCATGCACCGGGCCTCTAGTCAAATATAAGATGACAACTGTGGCAATAGCTTTGAAGGAGAGGCACATGGTACAAAGAGGGTAAAAACAGACAACTCTTCTACCCAGTCAGACAGGTCACGGAAGGCTTCTTTGAGTTTGCGACATGCAGACAGATCTGAAAGAGTGGGAGGAAGTGGGACAGTGTGGACAAAGCTTTTGTGGCAGGATGGAAGATGGCAAACATGAAGGGCTGGAAGGAGGGTAGTAGCTGGGCAGGTAGAGTGAGGGGGGCATGGTGAAAGCTTAAGGTCTCTTGGCAGGTAATAGAGTTTGCCCCTTATCCTAAAATCAACAGGAAGCCAAAGGGGGATTTTTAGCAAGGAAGGGAATGGGGGTTATATAACTGGATTTGTTTTTTGATAAATCTACTCTGGCTACATGGTGGAGAATAAAAATATTGGAAAGAAACTCAAAGTAATCACTACTAATACAGTTAGAAGGCTATTGCAATGGTTAGGTAGAAGATGGTAGTGATGGTAATGGAGCAAAGTCAACAGGTTAAGGAGATCTTCAGGAGGTAACAGCAGTAGGACTTGGAGATGGATGAGACATGAAAGGAAAAGAAATAGAAAACTCGATTTCTAGTTAAGCAACTGACTGGATGGTGATGCCATTTGCTAACATGTGGAGCAGGCCTATTTATGACCTTGATTTTGGATATGTGAAGTGCCTTTACAATATCCTTTTTAAAAAGATGCTGTGTAAGGATACATGGGTCTGCAACCTAGAGGAGAGGTCTGGAATGGAGATACACTCTTGTGAGTCATCTTTATGTACAGGTGCCCTAGCCTAGAGAAAGCATATGGAATGACAGGAGGCTGAAACCGGGCCTCTGGAGCACAAATGCTTAAAAGCTGCACAGAGAAATTAGAACCTGCACAGGTGAAGATGGGGGCCAGAGAGAGGGAGAGAGAAAGAAAACCAGGAATGTGCAGTGTTATGCAGGCCAAAGCAGAGAATGTTTCCAGAGCTACATAAGTAACACCAAAGAAAGGACAGGTTCAGGAATAAAAATAAGCCTTAGATTTTAATACTCAGTTTCAAGTGCCAGGAAGGTATCCAAAAGGAAATTTCTCCCAGATTGGTGCATCTATGCGTCTATGGCACAACAGAAAAGTCTGGGCCCACAGCAGAATTGAAAGCGATCCGTATTTAGTTGTGTATGAGGCTGTGAGAGCATACCACTCAGCAAGAGGATGCAGAGTGAGTAGAGGAAAAACTGAAAGTGAGGCCATGAGGACACCAAGATTTAAGGGATGGCAGATCAAGTGCATCCTCCAGAGGAACTTGACACAGAATAGCTGGATGAGCAAGAAGGAAAGTAGGAGATGTGGGTTGATTGAAATAGAAAAAAGAAAAACATGAAATATGGGATGACAGAAATCAATGAATGAAAGTAAGTTTTATGGATGCTTTTCTTTTTCTGTGCAGAAGCTTTTTAGTTTGATGTAGTCCCATTTATTTTTTTCATGTGTTTCTCTTGCCCTAGAAGATGTATCGGCTAAAATCCTGCTACCTGAAATGTCTGCACTTTTATTACCGATGTTTTCTTCTAGGATTTTTATGGTTTTGTGACTTACATTTAAGTCTTTTCTTCATTTTGAGTTTATTCTTGTGCATGGTGTAAGTTGGTGGTCTACTTTCATTTTTTTGCATGTACCTGTCAAAAATGGGGGACATCTGTAATACTGTCAACAATAAAAAATAAAATAAAGTAAGTTACATGGAGGCAGGACTGGACAAAAGGGAGAGAGCAAAAAGCAGAATGTAGATTGTTGAGAAACAAAGTGTATGGGAATAAAGAATAAGACAGAAGCTCTGACTGATGTGGTTTAGTTGGTTGAGTGTCATCCCCTGCACCAAAAGGTTGCTGGTTTGATTCCCAGTCAGAGTACATACCTAGGTTGCCAGTTTGGTGTGGGGTGCATACAGGAGGCAACTGATGTTTCTCTCTAACATCAATGTTTCTCTCCCTCTCTCTCTAAAAATCAATAAAAACATATTTTTAAAATAAAAGAATGAGAGAGAAGAAAGATAGTTCCCTCATGAAGCTCGGCTTAAGGAGAAAGTCGGTTCATCAAGAGAAGAATCAAGAGAAGATTGTTGTGTCTATAATGCATTCTTGTGACATAGGACAAGGAGTGAAAAGTGCCAATTGGATATTTTTTTAAGTTTATAATTGCTGAGCTTGGCAAGAGCATATTCATATATGTGGTGGAGAGCAGACTGAAAGACTGAATCAGCAACCCAACTTTTGATAAATTTGAAGAGGTAGCCAGAAGTTCCATGGATGAAAAAAAACAAGCTGAAATAACAGATAGTATAAACCTCATAGAGGTAGGTATGCTTTTTCCATGGAGGCTGTAAAGAGTAACAGTCTCAATGTGACATTGAGAAGAAAGAATTCAACCACCGTTTCCATCCCCAAAGTCCTTAGGATGTAGTCATGATGCCTGTCCCCCACAGGCAGGGCTGGTGGAGAACCGGTTAGATTCCCGTTCATCTACCATGGAAGTGGCAAAACATGGAAAGAGCAAAGAGAGGTGGGAGCGTTAAAAGATTGATTCAGGAAGATAAAGCAGAGTAGTTGGACAAAAGAGAATGAAGAAATGGAGAGACAATTATTCTCTGGGCTACTGGGGAGGTTGACTGGACTAGAGTACTAGGGTGTCAAGTTGTTTCTCTTGGTGAGCTGGTTAAAACCCACCTGGAGCAGCTATCAGTGGCTCGACCTACAGAGGTTGAGTTCTGTGCAGATCAAGACCTGTAAATGCTAGTAGTGGTGGGCCAGGTCTGCCAGCACCTTCTAGTTGGAGAAAGCAGCTTCCTGCAGTGAAGTGTCAACAGGCCTCCTGTTCAAGTCTGGATTGACTGACTTCCTAGCCCAGGTGAATTGGCTAAAGTATCTTTCCCGGGAACTGGAGACGGTCGTGTCCTCCAGGAGGTAATTGTACTAAGGTCTCGCAGTGGGGTTACGACTCAACAAAAGCTCAATTCTTTATGACTGGATAGCTGGATAAAGCAGGTCTACACATAATATTGGATTATTTTATTCTGTTCTAGGAATGTTTAATCCCACTAACACTTGGGAGCCCAGGTATCTCTAATATGTGTTGAAAAAAAACCACCAGAAATCTGTATTAAATATACACATATCACCTACTTTTTAAATGCTGGGTTTCCATTTAATCTGCATCAAAAGGCAATAACAGGTAGGATGACTATAATTCTAGTGCCTAATCTGAACTGACCTTGTGTTATATAGATGTTGCAGTGAAGAAATTATATGTAGGAACACCTCCTTATTTAAGTAAAACAAACAAACAAAAAACTGCCCAAACTGAATTGTATGAAGATACCCTATTTTTTAAAACATATTTACAGCAAATTGGAGACATATTTGCTGGCCATTAAGCGGCAACATGATTGCACTGATAACTTTGGGCTCCCAAAGACGGAATTGAGGTAAAAAACTAAATTCACTTATACATGTTGCCATAGTCTGAATGTTTGTGTTCCCCCAAAATTCATATGTTGAAATCTTAATCCCCAATGTGATGATACTAGGAGGAGGGGGCCTCTACGAGGTGATTAGGTCATGAGGGTGGAGTCCTCCTGAATGGGATTAGTGCTCTTATAAAAAGTACTCCAGAGAGCTTCCTGCCCCTTCCATTATATGAGGATATAATGTGAAGATGGCATCTCTGAACCAGGGGGAGGTCCTCACCAGACACTGAATCTGCCCAGCTCCTTGATCTTGGACTTCCCACCATCCAACACTGTGATTTCTTATAGTATCCGTTGTATATAAGCCACCCAGTTTATGACGTTTTTGTTATAGCAGCTCACATGGACTAAGACACATGTCAATGAATATTTCAAGAAAAAAAAAACATGTTCCCTCACACTCTTCAAAATGTGGTGGTAGCTTCTCAGCTGGTTCTTTCAGAAAATATGCGTTTGAAAAACTTTCTTATGATCAGAGAACTTTATCTGCTGAAACTTCATACTGCAAAGAGGAAAGCAAAATGGTAATTGGAAGGCCAGCTTCTGCAGGGATAGTAATGACGGCACCAAGAGACCAGGGTCCATTTCCTAACAGTAGGAACTGTGGGAGAAGAAAAATTGTTGAAGGGACCCCTGAACATATGCAGCATGAATCAACAGCCATAAAAGACATACTGTCTGTGCTGACTGTCATGAATCATGCTTTTTACAAGCGTCTTCTTTGGTGAAATAACTACTAAATTCATGTCTCTCAAACTGGTCTGCTTTCTCCTTCCCTGGCCAGAAGGCAAGGTAAATAGGCACAGTGCCCTGACCACTATGGGTCAATCCCTGGAGATGGATTGAAAGTGGCTACACTTACTGTCATGCTCAGTGTGGGGGCGCAGGGGAAGAGAGCTGCCCTGTCACTGGGCCTGCCCACCCACCCACCTACCCAACTTCTGGCTCAAACTCTTCTTAAAATAATTAGTCACTACATTTCCCATTTTAGACCTAGATTTTTAAATTATGTCACTTAATAACCATATCTAAAAAACACAAATACTTATTTCTCTTAGAAATCCTTGAATGTCTTAGGAATAACTACTTGGTGAAAAATCAGGCTCTGGGACTGTATCTTAGTAACAGAGTCAGTGAGCAATTGTGCCTTCCTTACCTGGCTTCCAGAAGTGTCAAAGTGCTGCCTGGTGAGAGCCAAGATATCTTCTGTCTCGTTCTGAGACAGGAAATAGGAGTCTTCATCCTGCCTCAGGCTGAGGAGGCTGTGCAGGTAAAACTTATACTCCTTATTGCTCATGTTGAGCTTTGAAGAACAGATCTCCTCCTGGTGAATAATGTAATAGAGGAGGAGAAGGGAAACTCTCTGAATCACCTCCTCTCTGAGCTGATCTTCGAAATTTCCTCCAGCAATTAGCAGCAGGGCATCTGGTTCAAAGCACTGGGGGGAAAGGCATAAAACAAAGACAAAAACAGAAACAAAACTCAGCCATAGGTCCTTAAACATTAATTACCACAGTTTCCACTGCTTATAACTCCATCAATAGGAGGGGAAAGTGGGTAGGCCCAATAGCCAGATTCAAATAAGCCCTGGTTGGATTTTTATGTAACAATGATGTCCTCCCCGAAAGTCCTTATTCCCTAAAAGTGGTCCCTCTGTCTCCTACGACAGTGCCACAAGTTGTCCATTTGTTACCTTGAATAAAACCAGCTGACACGTTGGCGCTGAAAACAATGGCCCATTGCATTTAGAATGAAATCGAAGCTCCTTATCATTGTCTCCTTGGTCTGGCTCCTGCCTCCCCTACATTACATTAGCTTCTCTCCACCTCTCTCAACAAACTTCTGCCCCTGTGACTTTTCTGTCCGTCACCCAGCTCTTTCCCACCATCTTTCAGGTCTTATTCTCCTCACCTCACTCATCTCAGCTTAAAGTGCCACTCCCTCCTAGATGTCTCTAGCACACACTGTCTAAAGTTGAAAGCCCCCTCCTCCATCCCATGTTCTCCCACACAGCGCTGTTCAGTAGAAATAGAATGCAAGCCACAAATGTGAGCCACACATATCATTTAAATTTTCCAGTAGCCACATTTTAAAAAGTAAAAAGGAATGGTGAAATTAATTCTAATAATATATTTTATTGAAGTTTCTATGTGCAAGATACAATAATTTCAACATGCAATTTAAAATTTGAAAAATGAAAAAAAATAAAATAAAATTTGAAAAATGATAAATGAACTATTTGGCATATATATATATATATATATATATATATATATATATATATATAATGTGTATATTAATTTCAGAGAGGAAGGAAGAGGGAGAAAGAGATAGAAACATCAATGATGAGAGAGAATCATTGATTGGCTGCCTCCTGCATGCCCCCTACTAGGGATCGAGCCCACAACTGAGGCATGTGCCCTTGACCAGAATCCAACCTGGGACCCCTGAGTCCACAGGCCAACGCTCTATCCACTGAGCCAAACCAGCTAGGGCTATTTGGCATTCTTTTTGTCATGGTAAGTCTTGGAAATCTGGCATGTATTCTAAACTGACCAGCAGATCACAGTTCAGGCGAGCCCCATAGCAAGTGCCCAAGAGCCAGCTCATGGCAGATATGGCACACACCACTTTTTTATTTTCTTCATAGCACTAGGATTCGAAAATTACATTGTCTACTTGTTTTTCCCCTCTTTCCTCTTGATGACTACTGGTCCATTAAGTCTGGATTTTGTCTGCTTTGTGCACAGTTCAGCCTCAGCATCTAGCAAATGCCTGGTGTGAAAATGGAATGCATGAATGCCATCTGTCTTTTACCCTACGTAAGAGAATTGCTAAAAGATTTTTCCATGATGCTTGATTCATTTCACAGCCCATACACCTGGCTCATCTAATCTGGCAAAAGAAGGTGTTTGGGGAGATGTGGTGGAACATTGAGGATAAAGGTAGACACAGAGGTTGTTGAGGGGAAGCTTTCCCAGCTAGACAGGAGCTACCTTTCCTGAGAGACCAGTAGGGAGCGCCTGAGAGTTCTCCAGGGACCCCAGAAGGAGCCCATTACAGGGCACCAGCCTCAGCCTGAAGGTATCGAGGGATACAAGGCCTGAGCCTCCGAGGGTTTGCCCCACTGTGGGACAGTTTATTTATCTTTTTTAAAATTGAGGTATAATTGACATATAACAGCATATTAGTTTCAGGTGTATAACATAATGTTTCAATATTTATATATATATTGCAAAATGATCACCCCATTACATCCCCAGGACTTATAACTGGAAGTCTGTACCACTGACCAAAGTGTCTGAGTCACAAAGAAACACACCATCCATCTCTAAAGAAAAGCATTAGTCACATCTTCACAAGCCACAGACTCCAATATCTCCCCCCAACTCAACTGCAAGGGACGAGAACTCAGCAAACACAGGGACAGGTTTCCCAATAAGACCAACTCTTAAGATGAATATCAAGCCTCACCACTGAAACCACAGTAGCCTTCCTGCTCCCTAAGTAGCCCATGAGAAAAGTCTATGAGTTGGTTGTTGTTGACAGGGATCACACCAAGACCTAAGGAGGTGAATCAACTGAAATAGGTATAATAAAGCCATGCTTTGTACCAAATAACCTCCTGAAACCAAACTACAGACAGTCCTCGGGTTACGTCGGACTTGACATATGTCGTTTTGTGTTATGCCACCATCTCCCATCTACACTAATAAAAGAGAAAGATGCAAATTGACCGTACCTCTGTAATGCCCACCAGCCAATCAGGAGTGAGTGTGCAAATTAACCCGACAAAGATGGCAGCGGCCCCACTCCCCAGCCGCTCTGGGCCTCTGGGCAGCATGCATGCAGGCTCAGAGTGCCCAGACAGGGCGGGATGCCTACTATGAGGGGGAAGGCAGGGGATGGAGGGAGCTACAGGAGCGGCGCTCCGGCTGGAGTGAAGACTGAAGGCTCCGGCCACAGCGAAGACGGAAGGCAGTGGCCAGAGCGAAGGCCTGGGCAGCCAGGGAAGGAAGGCCTATTGCATGAATCTTTGTGTAACGGGCCTCTAGTTTATAAAAAAAAAATAGAGTTCCGTCATTTTGACATACATACATATGTGCTTTATGTTTTTTATTATTTATTTACCACAAGTAAAGGTCAGGAATTGCTATCTTTCTTTTAAATATTTTTTACTGTTTCACTTCATTATTGCTGTGTATGTGCTCCATGTGAGTGACATAGGTGTTTATGTAGGTGGGTTCTGACTTACAGTGAAAATCGCATTATGTCGCATGTAGGCATGGATCTTTGATGTAATCTGAGGACCTATTATATTGGTGTATTAGCTACCAGTTATTGAAAGCCTTGTGTCCAAGACAGTGCTAAACACTTATGTATTTTGGCATTCCTTGGTGTATAAATCTAATTGGTTTTGAAAAAGGTGTCAAATAATGATTTTTTTGGATAGTGGGGACCTTATGCATTGTTTTAAATGAAAAACAAAACAAAACAAAATCTAGACAGCCTATGTAAAAATCCACCAAATATTTCTGCATAGTATAATGCATTTAGAATTCCAATTCCCCAATTATTTAATGCATGATGAATTAATGGGTACATTTATATGTAGTATGCAAGGATACTACACAGAATCAGGTTTAAATTATGTTTTCCCTCTGAGGGAGGTATACCCACAATATATATAAAAACTCAGTATAAGAGAGGGTAAGTAACATACCTAAAGCCACACAGCTAATAGCACTTGCCCAGTCTTAATTCCTGCTCTGCCAATGATATATTTTATTCTCTTACTAGAGGCCCCGTGCATGAAATTCATGCAAGGGGGGGGTTGTCCTTCAACTCGGTCTGCACCCTCTCCAATCCAGGACCCCTCGGGAGATGTCCGACTGCCTCTTGCAATCTGGGATCACTGGCTCCTAACCACTCCCCTGCTGGCCTGATTGCCCCTAACCTCCTCTGCCTTGCCCCACACCCGGGACCCAGGATTCCCTCCTCTGGCCAGTCGCAGGCACCCACAACCCGGGTTTCCCTCCCTCTGGTTGGCTTCAGGCACCCGGGACCGCAGGGTGGGCAGCTTGTTCCTCTCCCGGGCCACAGCCCCAGCTGCTGGTGCCTGGGACCATGGGGCAGGCAGCTTGTCCTTTTCCCGGGCCACAGCCTGGCTGGTCCCCATTCCTCTCTCATGAGCTCATTTGTGCTTGGCTAGTCCCCATTCCTCTCTCCTCAGTGTTGAGTGTCTGAGCCATTATGGCATGACGGCGTGAGGGCATGAAAACCATTTGCATATTAGCTCTTTATTATATAGGATTCCATTGTTTTGTGCCATGGAGAGTATATACTGTGGACCTACCTACATAATTGCTATGCTGCCCCTCACCCAATAATTTTCTCTCCCTCCTATTTGGTAGGAAGAAATTTGGTCAATGAAGAGGCTAGGGCAGGGGTGGGCAAACTTTTTGACTCGAGGGCCACAATGGGTTCTTAAACTGGACTGGAGGGCCGGAACAAAAGCATGGATGGAGTGTTTGTGTGAACTAATATAAATTCAAAGTAAACATCATTACATAAAAGGGTACAGTCTTTTTTTTTTAGTTTTATTCATTTCAAACGGGCCGGATCCGGCCCACGGGCCGTAGTTTGCCCACAGCTGGGCTAGGGGATTGTAGTGCTCTAATATCTATCAATGAGAATATTTTAAAATCAGAGGGTTGAATGAGGTCCTGTTTGTAGCTTTTTAAGTGCTATTCAGGTTGTTTAATGGGACCAGGTAGGTAGGAAGAAGAGCATCAAGAACACAAGGAATATGACCTCCATGAAGCCATCAGATCATGCACATGTGGCCAGGGCTTGGTTGACAGTACACAGCAGTGTACGTGTCCCCCCTTCACCTCATCTGAAGTGTCTGAGACTCCTGTCCATTTGTGGCTCCTCCTCAATGCTCTTGCCTCGTCTCTTTCTAGGGTTGGAATAGGAGGAGTGTGGCATGGGGCAGCAGAGGATAGGGTAAGGTCTGTAACCCCGCAGATGTTCACTCCAGAAATGGCTTATAAAAAGCATACAACTTGGAAAGTACACTGGTTTATGACTTTGAAAAGTTTTAAATAGTTATGGAAGCAGCTCATTCTGTCTGACTAGAGATTTTGGTCACCTTGAATAAACAGATGTTGCCTACCCCTTGCTTTAATTTTTTGAGGCCTGATGAAAGGAAGCTGTCAAATTATTATGGGCTGAACACTTTGTGCTCTTTTATAATATTTGAATCTTAAACAAGTTCCCTTCATGGAGAAGGTAGTGGCTTGAGGAAAGGAGTCTGCAGGGAGCATCGGAGGAGCTCGTGTAAGAAAATGTGGATTTCCTCCTGAGCACGGACGTGGCAGAAGCACTGTGGGAAGGGGAGCTGTGGGGGGACCAGAATTTGCAGTGCATCGCACTGGGTTTAGCTATGAAAGTGTTGCAGTGGTTCAGTAGAGTTTGGGAGAGGATATTTAGTAAAACTGTGCGCTCATTGGCACCCCAGAGGCATCAAGACCTGTCTAAAGCTCTGAATCCAGAGAAGTAACTTTTTGTTAAAGAAGAATGGGCTCCTTCAGAAGTTAATCCGTTGGTTTTTCTTTTAATCTTATCAGATGGAGGCATAAGGTTTGAGAGGGGGGGAAACACAGATTCCGGGAAATTGTTTTAAAATTTCCATAAACTTTGGGGAAATATTGGTCAAAATGGTTAGAGGTTTTCCGTGGCCTCCGTAGTCCAGTCAGATTGCCTCCCCTAATGCAGCATCATTCATGGTTTATGTCTGCCAGGCGAGAGCCTCAGTGACAAAAAAAGCTACACAAAATCTTTCTTCTTCTACAGGAGCCAAGCAGTTGTCAAACCTGCAGGACCAACTTGAAGGGCTTTAGACCAAAAGATGTTTAGAATTTGATTTGGGATTATGACTAAACCCATATGACTAGATCTAAATTCTCAGGTTTTTATAAGGTGTTGTTTTTTAAGGGGGTAGGAGAATGCTAACAATTGGCTGTAAAATACAAGAGGGAAATTGTACTTCTCTTTATTCTCCCACACAAAGATCAGGAAGGATGCTAGCTGATGGCAGGCACTAGCTTTGTGTGGGTCTGTTCTAAGACTTAGTGGCATGTCTGACTTCCAAAAAAGAAAAGTCTTAACAGAGAAGAGTTAAGATAAACTTGTTAGACAAACAAGATAACGCTTGATGCTTTTCGTTTGCACTTTTCCCATGACAGTTAGACAAGTGGAGGGAGGGGTGTGAATTAGATGCGGATCCTTAAAGCAGCCATTCTCTTCCCCTGAAATGGTCTAAGAATCGCCTGGAGATTTCCATTAGAAACCCCCAAGTCCCTGGGACAGCTGAGGGGGCTGGGGACCGCGGGAGGGGGCCAGTGAGGAATGTCTCATTTCTCAGCAGCACTGCAGGTACTTCCCAAACACCGCTCCAGTGTCCCTGAAAAAGGAGGAGTGGACATTTCCTGGAGGAATGGGACATGTAAGGGGCCAGGGAGAGCCTAAGCCCCTGGGTCCAAGCTCATTCACACGCGGCCACGTGGTCCTCACGGAAAGCAGCCTGAGGAAGGAATCGCCACCTCAGTCCTCTGTCTGATGGATGAGGATGTTGAGGTTCTGCATGTCCTAACAGCTGGAAGGTGCGGGAGCACTGCTGGCTGACTCCGCACACCACCAGGTTCCTTTTCCTTCACCACACCTGCAACCCACGTAGGATGGTGGTTTTCATTATTACTGAGTGGAATTTATTCTTTTGGAGTTACTTAATCCCTCATTAAATTAATCAAAACTCCATTCTAACCCTTCTCATTAAAAAAAAGGAAAAGCCACGACCAGGCAAGACTATCCATTTCAAAGGCTGCAGCTTGGATACACTCATTCTTAAATGCACAGTGCCCGCAAATGCTTCAATTTATTTTATTTTTTTTAAGTACTCAGTTTATACCCAGGCCTGAAATAAAATTGGGAACACTTTTTTTCTCTCCACTTTACTCTTTTTCCAGATATTTGGGGATATGAACTCACCCTTCTGCCCTCTTTTTTACCACAAAATTTCTAATATGAATGCTGCTTCTGTGGACAAAGTCCCTAAAAAGACAAAAAAGATTCAATGACGACTGAAGTCCTGTGATTTGCCCCGGGATGTGGGTGTTAGTGAAATCTGTCTCTCCTCGCTGGTTGAGAATGACATGGGAGATGTCATGGCTCCTCCATTATGGGTGGTTCAGACGAACTGGAGCCTTTGAGCAGGTTAATCTGAAATTTGTCTTTTTTTTTTTTTTTAACCCCAGTCTCTTCCAAAGAAAAATAGTAAGAAGGCAAAACTATTACAGACCGTGTTTGACTTCCTAGGAATGGAACTAATTCAAATGGAAGCTAATTTAGCCAAACTCTCAATAATGTCACAGGAACCAAAAAGTACCAAACAACTCCTCCTCCCCAAAGGAGTGGAGAACAGCTCTGCATGTTTTCATTCCCCCCCGGCTAAACGAATATTCGAGCAGCCTTAACAAGGCACATCATGTCATTAGAGAACATTTCCCTGAAGCAAATTCTCAGAGGACATTAATAAGATATGACTCCTACTTATTTCCAGTGGGAAGTCTTATGTTGCTATATATATAAATTAATGTCATCACAGATGAGTTGCCGATTAGAACACATGTTTTCTCTGGGAACCCCTGGGGATAGTACTAATTATTGAATTATTTATTGTTTGCACAGAGCAGAGAAAAATTCTCTCTATGAGCAAGACCCTTCTGTCAGGAAAAACAAAACACTGGCCAGAAATGTTGCCCCGAGAACCAAGGGGGATTGAGAAAGTCGGCCAAAATTTATTTTGGGGGGCAGTTGTTTGCTTGTCTTATTGATTGTTTGGCATCTTCGTTTATGTATTTGTTTGTGGTTCTTTCTGAAACATCTCATCGGGCAAGAAAGGAATGGTGACTCGTGATTTTGTTTGGAGTCAATTTAGGACATGGGTTCTTACCGCTTGTGCTGCTGCTATCAATCCCCCCAGCATGCCACCCACCCACCCTAATGGGGACATGTTGAGGCCACATTAATGCTGATTGTCCATTACAGTGGCCTGCAGACATTTTTTAAAAATTCCATCCTAGGCAAATACAACCTCAATCTCCAGAAGAGGAACCCCCAACATGGACATTTTGTGAAATCTGCCCGGGGGACACCGACGTGCAGCCAGGGTCTGAGCCACCTCGTAGACTGGGAAAAGGCTGGGACTGGGCCTCATTGTAGCTCTGCCCATGGCACTCCCATCCCCCCGCTCAGATCCCCTATTTCCAAAAAGATGATTATCACTACCCACCACTCAAAAAAAAATTAGAAAATGCCAGTTGCTATCCAGGAAAAAAAGTACTTGAAATTTCAACATTAGACAAATATCTGATCGCTATATTCAAGCCTCAGAAAACAAATAGCGTTTATCCAACCCATCACATACAAGTTCTCAGCAAACTCCCAAAAGAGATTAGTAAACCAGAAAGAAGACAGAACTAACTTCTCACTCCCAAGGCAATACCTCCCAGCCCGCAGAAGGGGTGCAGCAACACTTTCATAAACATTGCCATTTTAATAAAAAGAACACGTTCCCTGTCTTTAGCTGCTATGCGCAGGGCACCGACTGACTTTTTGTCTCCCAAATAGGGGAGCTGTTAGGCCGCAGTGCGCTGCGCTCTTGGTTCCTGGAAGGGCCTCTTTGATGGAGATTTACCGAAGTTAATGGCTGGGGAATCCATCGCTCCCTTTTGGGAATGCCCTGGCACCTGATCCCACTCTATGGCACTAACCAGGTTGCAGCCTCCTCGCAGTCCATTTGTCCTGCGTGGGCAGCCAGTTTTCTCCAACAACGTTTTGATGAGGCTTCTGGAGTGGTTCAGGGGCGGGTGGTCGCCAGCAGAGAGGACGCGGAGGACTGCTGTCAGCTGGCCAGGACTCCAAGCGCCGCCGCTGTCCCGGGCGGAGGGTTTCTGTGTCTCAGCAGAGGGCACAAGGCTGAGGAGAAGGAGCAATGGCAGGCAGGGTCCCGAGAGCCTTGTCCAGAAGCACATTTCCACTCCTCCTTCGCCTGCAGCGTGTCTCTGATGGAGTAGACGGGTTGGTGTCCACGGGGTGCACTTGTACCGGAGGAATTTCTGTGGCGAAGGGGGAAAATAAGGCTTTAATTATTATGCCTGCAACGAGTTTGAAAGGGTTCATTAATTGGGTGGCTAAGCTGCTTTGCAATGACAAGCTGTTTCTGGACAACAGGGGCTCTGGTCTGTAGGTCATTGCTAACCCCAAACAGCAGGAAACTATCCTGGCTGTGGACTTTCAAACTGTAGGAAAACCAAGTATGTGGCTGTATTGCCTCTCTGAACTAAACCTAGAGTCAAAAATTAAGAAGAATACGTTCTCTGTTCATCCGGGTATAAGTCATAGGACCGCGGACAGGAAACACCCTCATTTTATCTCCTTGGTAAGGAGAACTCCCAGGGGTTTGTGGTCCGGATCACGGAAACATGTAAATAAAACTAAAGAGAAATTACATTTTTAAAAATTGCCAATGTCATGCAGAGTTGGAAGGTTTTATGTAAAGAAGGGTGCTGGAAGAAAAACAGTAACATTCAGAAAACACTGGTCTGCCTTTAGATTTTAGTTTATTTAAAGTACAAACGATCTTACAAAAAAGAAAAAAAAAGAATTTCAAGACCTCATGAGCCATGATAAATCCACATACTCCGTGGTCATTAAAGGGGTAAGAGGACAACTTGAGAGCCAATCAACTTCTGGAATAAAATTTAATCTCTTCAAAACAATTGCTTAAGAAATGCAAAATGTTAACAGTATCTCATGTCCGATTTTGGCCCAGAGATGAGCTAATAATGACTGTGGGGTAGGAACAAAAATATTGGGATTACTTTTATAGTTTAAAAAAAAAAGGTGGAAGAGTTAAGATTCTTCGGTTAGCAATTTAAAAAATGACAGAGGATGATACAAACATTTCTAAACCTAGTGCTTACCTTCAGAGGGAAGACAAATGGCTATTTATCTGGAGCTCTTCGGCCTTTTAAACCTCAGAGAGCATTTTGTGGTTACAAAGTCCTCTGTTTTTAAAATTCCTTGACTGTGTGCTGGGAGCTGGAAGGGATTATTCCAGCCCCGTGAAGTTTCCCGTTGCCATGGAGAGAGCTGCTCTCAAGGTAACAATGAAGGTGGATAAAAGTGAGAACTTTCGTCTGGCAGGTTTTCAGGAAAATCAAATAAAACTGGTTCATGAACCCGACTTTTTCATAGTAATATTTACCAATGTTCATAGAGTCACCGACAGTCACTTGCCTTTTAAGGGGCAGATCAAAGTCAAAAGATTTCACCTTGTAGAATGGAAGATTAAGGGGTTTTTTTTCCTTTCCAGTTGGTTTTGTGATAACTGTTTCAGCCATACTCCAACCAAGCATTTGTGGAAAAGATACCTGGTAGACTCTTTAGAATCTTATTTATTTTACAAGGTAGAGAGGTTTAACAGATTTAACATGGTTGTAAATTGATAAATAGATATTTTCAAATGAGAAGGAAAGTATTTGTGGGAGGAATAAAGTTCTTACCTAGGAAATAAGTGGATGTGAATGGAGAACTTTGATTAGCTGTGTACGTTATGATCTCTATCTGCAGTAGAAGTGACTACATAGGATCTTTCAGACTCTAAAATGGGCTCTAGATAAATTACTAGTGAATCAATGACTACAAGAACAAAGTGGTCAATTTTACAGGACATAAGAGAAGTTAAAATGCAAACTTTCAAAGTGGACTAAGTACACATAAATGGCACATAGTACACAGAAACACAAAGTGACTCTGCAGAATGATGGATAGAGATTTATGAGTTCAATTCCATAGGTGGTAGATGGGAAGGAGTGGGGCTATGGTGAAGAGACAGAGGAAATGAGAAGAGAAAGAAGTTAGGATAGTTTCCTCAATCACTAATTGGATATGAAAACTTGGAACAATAGGGTGAGATAATCCTAAAAAAATGCTGGTAACATTGATAGAAATATGGCTGGCACAAAAGCTCCCAGAAAATGCCTGGTTTCTTGTTAATTCCAAATATGGAGGACTTGGATTCATCTAAACCAGCTGTGGGCAAACTACGGCCTGCGGGCCGGATCCGGCCCGTTTGAAATGAATGAAATTAAAAAAAAAAAAGACCGTACCCTTTTATGTAATGATGTTTACTTTGAATTTATATTAGTTCACACAAATACTCCATCCATGCTTTTGTTCCGGCCCTCCAGTCCAGTTGTGGCCCTCGAGTCAAAAAGTTTGCCCACCCCTGAAAACTGTCAAGGGAAGGGGCTTGGCCCCTGGTGGTGAAACCTAATGCAGTTCCAGCTGCCTGCTGCAAAGAAAGCCAAATTCATGACACAATGCTGCTGAGAAGGAAAAGGGCTTATTCAAGTGCTGGTCACCTGAGAAGATGGGGGACTCTCATCCCAAAGCCCATTTTAACATCTCAGTGCAGGCAGGGTTTTTTGTTGTTTTTTTTATCAGGAAGGAAAGGGAAAGCAGAACAAAGATATCAGGGGGAGGGGGTTGTGGACATGCAGGCGGTGTTCTTGCTGGTCCTGATATAGATCTTTAACATCAGCCAAAGTCTTGTATTCAAGCTGCCCCAGGCCCATGCAGGATCCAGGAACAGCTGGTTTCTTCAATACACACACACACACACAAACACAACAGGTTCTTGGCGATTTATGGCAGGCATGACTAACCTGGCCTTCTTTGAAGACTTATATCCTGTTTTCTGACACAGGGAAAAGTATTGTTCATTATATGTTATTTAATAGAGAAGGTTATTTTTCAGGTTAGTGTAAGATTTCACGTAAGATGTGCTGGATGCACAGGCTGTGCAGGATGTCTTCCCATAGGCCTTAATATGGATCTTTATGGTCACCATTCTTGAGTTGGTCATCTGGGCTTTCTAACAGCTGAATTCCTGTTGATTGAGTGGTTGGCATCATCCAGGTGGGCCTTGAGGCCAGGGCTCTTCCTAGGTTCACACAGAAATGGAGACTATAATGTATACTAAAAACTTTTAACATATGAGCTCTATTTTGAGAGAAAATTCAGGTTATAGTAATAAGCTGGGTTTAACATTTACTACGATTAACATGGGTAGCTTTATAAAAATTTTATAAGTTTACTTTGTTTGTATATTCTTATTTTAGTTCTACTCCATGGCTAGTCAGACTAATATAAGTAGTATATCACATTCATTCCTGTCACAGAGAGATTAAGTGGAGTTAAGAGTCCAGAGTGGTCAGTTTAACAGAGGAGCAAGGAGTTGGCCAAAACCTTATAGCTGTAGACCCAGTGGAGACAGAGAAGCAAGGAGGGAACAGGCTCAGGACCTTGTTTCTGGAATTGGGCCCTTGCTTTCTGACCCAGCTTCAATGAACAGGTCCTGAAATTGGCCATCCCTGCCGAAGTCCCAGTGTAGCACCTGCCTGGTTGCCACAGAACTAGATCCTGATGTGCTCTGACCAGCACTCACAGGACAGTGCCCCTGCTGTGACTTGGGGACCTTTTTCCTGGTTGCCCTGTGCTGATGTCCACCTGGAAGCCCCATATTTCCTGGTGTCAGATTTCCTATGGTTACTGGTTCCCTTGTAACAGAGCCCGGCAAGTTATCTCCCCCAGGGATTCTTGAACACCATTCACTAGTCTCAAGGGCTCCCAATACCTCTACCCTTCTAGCCACAAACCCCAAGACACCCAAAGTGAACTTCCTCTTATTGTCACCAGCCAGTGCCGGCTCTGTTTGCCCCCAAGATTTGTTCCACCCTCACAGTCAAACCTACAATTCAACCACCAGCCAGGTTCCTTTTCCTGTTCCAGGGTGAGACAGGAATGGAGGGGCAGGGAGAAGCCCTGGATGTAGGCTGTAAGGCCGGCAAAGCCAAGAAGGGCTGGCAGGCAGATGATTAAAAAAAAAGGGGGAGTAAGAAGGAGATAAAATACTTAGCGGAATTTGGCAGCATCATCTTCTTTGCTTGACTTTGAGCTGTAGCTCTAAATCCAAGTGCCCACCCTGTCGCTTCCCCGGCAAGCCTGAAACCAGCCTTTCTTCAACATGGCTGCATTTGCAATCCAAGCACCTTCTGGGGGTAATGAGTTTCACATGTTAACTCACCAGCTGTGTAAAGAAGGAGCTAATTTACTCCTGATTGATACTCACATGCCCGTTAACCCCCAGGTGGGGGCAGTCTCATGGGAGGCAGTTTCTCCTGCTATGCCAACTCTTACTTGTGCTATCACAGGAAGATAGAGTGGCCAGGAGGCAGGAGGGAAGAGGTGAGGGGGGCACTGACCAAGCTGTCCTTCGTTCAGTTTTGGCTCTTTGCCTGAGTTTCAAACGTCTTCCTCATGCCCACATAGGAATGTAGTTACATACCCACCCTGCCTTGACCTAGAAAGAATTTAAAGGGTCCCACCAGGAAACATGAAATACAAGACGGCAGCAATTTAGGAAGAGATTGAAGCAAGGGTAGAGCCGTCTTGTGTGTGCAGTGTATAGTGCAGGGCTGCCTGCCCGTACCGTTTGGCAGGTTTGGGCACTGTACAACTCAGAGACCATCATTCATGTCTGTAGTCATTACAGATTTATGTACTGACTTTCATGACAATGTATTAAATTATATTATTTATTTATTTTCCAGTAAATGTGTGCTCTAAATCCCGCCCACCCCTATGGGATCCTCTCTGGCAGTAATATGAGGTCCTACAACTCTGAGCTACCTCTGGGTCTCGCTTCTCCTTGCATGCCCCTTCACACTGACTTCTTCCCTCTTTCCAAGACACGGACCTCTCTAAATAATTCGTACAAAATGTTTATGAACAGTGTGTAGTGTTTTTTATGCCTAGGCACTGTGCTAAGCAATTTCACATATATTTTCTCCTGTAATATCAGTTGAACCTAATTAATGAACTTCTCACTGTACATTTCCGAAATACCCAGGTTCACACAGTCTATAGGTGCTACCAGAAATCTGGGCCTGTGAACATCAAAGTTGGTGCTTATACAGTAA